GAAGTGGATGAAAATGAGTTGTTCACATTGTTGAGACAATTTCCTCCTTGACCTGTTTCAAATCATGATTGAAGAGAAGCACTCAAATTGTAATTTTGTTAATGTTTGTTGACTTTTCATTAACTTTTTAATTACTCTCAACACTGATGTGTGTGTGTGTGTGTGTGTGTGTGTGTGTGTGTGTGTGTGTAGGGGGCCAGGTGTTTCAGGTTATTCCAGGAAGGCTGATGGAGGACACGTTCTGCAGAGCGTGTATTTATAGCCAGTGAATCTCAGGGTGGAGCAGTGGTGTCTGAGTTTGGTGTGAAAATACACTCAGACTGCAGGATACACAACGGCGACTCCACCAGAGAACTCTCAGCCAATCAGGATAGACACACACACACACACACACACACACACAAGTTAGAATTTTAATCTGCATGATAGATCTGTGGAGCCCCTGGCTGCACTGCAGGGTACAGAGCATCCTCTTCACTGCCAACATGTTGCCAACACATGGAGAAATGGAAACACAGGCAGTCTGGTTTTTGGCAGGTCAAGAGATGTTACTACAGTTTAAAAGTTTACATTAGTTCAAGTTATGAAAACCTGAAAAAATGTTTGATGACAGCATCAGGATTATTTACTCAGACTGTCAGAGCAAGCTCCACTCAAGCTCCAGTTACTAGAGGTTGATATCACCCGGTCATCATCAGATAGAGTTTGATCTGTTGCCATGGAGGATTATCTGTTGTGTTGATCTGATACACCAGAATACAGATACACTGTGAAGCTCTTTTGCGCTTATTATGCTCAATAGGGACAGGACACTGAATCCATTTGGATCAACATGCAGTGACTTATAAATGATGTGATTAAACCAAATCTTATTTCACTTCATTGCAACAATGCTGAAACGTTCCAGTGCAGATTATAGGCTCAGTGATAAAAGCCATTTAAAAGTTTACATCTGTTCTTACGTGTGAAAGACTTGGTGGAGATATTTGCCATCTTTGTGTTTCATTAGTTCGATTAAATTTTACTAGTAAAATGAAACACTTTGTGCACGTATTCAGTCACATAACAGGGAGAATCTGAGGGGCAGCACCACAGGTCAAACCCAGTATTATAATATGTTATTTGTTCTTAAGGTAAATGTTGACTGATTAGTGTATTTTGGCACCAATCTGTGTTACTTTACGATAATGATGCATTATTTTCTGCACTTCAATGATTGTATTTTAACAAGCATCATACAAAAATAAAGCAACCCAGAGAAATTTAAAAAAGTAAACAAATAAATAGTGCATACACAAACTATCAGATTTTTTTATTTGAACTTCAGAACATATTTTAAACCTACCCTGGAAAGATTATGAGCCTGATTCTAATAATCAGGGGTTCTTTAAAGCTTCCTGTCAATCGTAGTTTTGAGTAATCCTTTAATCACACCAAAATCTGGGTGAACCAGCCTTTTAACTAGTTCATGGACATGAACATTAAGTTGGCAGTTTATTAGGTACACCTAGTTAAAACTAATGCAGTCTAACACACTACTATAATAAACCATACCTTCATGACTGAAGCTGTTTTAGAAATGTGATTAAACTTTACAATAATTCTGATGGCTTTGGTTTGAGATGCAGTTGCGTGGACAGGTGTTTCTATTATTTTGACCACCCCATTGAAAATCAGTGAGGGTAGGTGAAATAACAGCAGCACCTCTCTGTATAATGCAACACAGTCCAACGGCTCCACAAACCACATCCTCCTCCTCAACACCTCTCTGAAACAATGCCAGTGAATATTTAACATTAGTAAGTGAAGGTGGGATCTGTTACACGACTGTTGTATCAGGCTGCATTCTTTTTTGGTTTGGTGTACCAAATAATAGCCGACCGAATCTACTGTATGTACTATTGCTGTCTTTGATACAGGAGCTGGAGCCTGAGTTTCATCTGTTTTATGGTAGAGTGCGGCCTCTGGTGGATGAAAACAGGAACGACAAAAGCATCACTTCTACAATAAGATACAGAATTCATCCAGCTGATACTGGCATGAGTGACAGTGAACGACCAGATGACGTGGTATTAAAATACTATTCACCAAAAAAACTAAAATTAAAATGAATTATTATATTTATTTGCTTAAGGTTTTTTAATATTAGCAGTGTGAACATAGTGTAGAGGACATGAATGTTGCTCACACACACACACACACATACTCTGAAACCATCCAATCACCATGTCTGCAGAGCTGGTCTGATGGTCAGGTTAGTGTACGCTGAGTGGATCATTAACTTGACTGATTAGTGAGAACCAGAACCAACCAGTACCGATAACCACCACACACACACACACACACACACACACACAGACACACACACACACACACACACACACACACACACACACACACACACACACACACACACACACACACACACAAATGCCCTCACAATGCTAAAAAATACTCTAAACAATGTGCTCCATTATACCATGAGGAGAGGGTATATAACCTCTGACAGAGTGTGAATTATACAGTAACAACCGGGGGGGCAGGGGGGGGGGCGAAAGGGAAACCCTGTCCAGCACAGGCGTGTGCTTCAGTGAGCTGAAGTGTTACAGTCCTTACAGTTTCTTTCCTGTTTAACAAAAGCTTTCAAATAGTGGAGGAGAAAGTATAACATTTCCTCTCACACTGACCAATGGTGGAAATATGATCAGTCAGTCAGTCAGTCAGTCACATTCCCCATTATATATTGTAATACATCCAATTACAGGAAGGTAGGATATTTAATGTTTCAACCCCCCTGAACATCTTTTTTTTCTTTTTTTTTGGGGGGGGGGGGGGTGTCCAAGTTGTAATCAGTTGTAATCAATCCCCCCGATAATTTGACCTCTGACATGAGACATTGAACATGATGCAAAGGGACAGTAAAGAAGACAGTGCTCTTTGACTGAAAGCTCTGCTTTTCTTTAATATGCCTCTGCATGGAAAATTCCTTAAACTGACACAAATCGTAGGTGTTGAACTGATGAGAAAATGCAGTAGAAAACTGAAAATTTAACAAACTTGCAAAAAAAAAAGGTGAAACAACATTTTCTGTATTTCTCTCTTATACTGTCTACAAGCTGAAACCTACAGTGTTTTGTTGCTCTTCGTCAACAGGCAGGCTTTGACTTTCCTGTCCTCTGACCTTTCTCATTATTTTTAACAGGAGCAACATCAACCTTATCACCCCCAGAGTTACTTATTGACTTTTTAATAATTCTGGTTTATCTGTGAATCAGTTCTGGGAATTATGAGTCTTGTGTCTTCTCACTGGTCACAGTCATTATTTCTGCTCAACCTTACAATCAGTGTTTGAGTGTGTGTGCACAGCCATGGCAGTAAACTAACAGAAGACATATGACAGATTTCACTCTGCACATGTCTCTTTTGACTTGGTGCGTGGTGCCAGGACTTTCAACAGCTCGACAAACAGCTTGTGCAACAGTTGTCATGGATCGGGAAGTTTTGACATAGTTGTCTATGGACAATAATGAACCTATTTAGAGTTTATGGCTGTTAAATGACCTGCTGTAACTGTGTACTGCTGTGTCATCTGTGTCGCTGCAGAACTTATTTTAATGTGCAGGCTGCTGATGAGAAAGAGTATTCATGCAATACAGACCTAAACCAGTGTGGAGACAGTTATTATTGTATTACCCAACATCACTATAGCATCATATCTATCTGTTCCTCTCTCTTCTCTCTCCCCCTCCTTCTCTTCTCTCCCCCCTTCCTCTCCTATCAACCCAACCGGTCGACTCAGACGGTCACCCACCCTGAGTCTGTTTTTGCGCTCCACTGCTCATGATGGGAGCAGTTGGGATTCTCTCTATAATATTGATTTGCGTTATACAAATAAAATTGAAGTGAAATTGAAATGAATAGCTAGTAGATGTACTGTAGTAATGCTACATATGTTTTAGAAGGAGACAAGCTCAATTAACAAAACCTACTTTTATCAGTCTACTTTGTCTTTTGAATCTTAAAAATTGGCTTTCATTTGATTAAATTTGGAACACTTTATTTTACAGGGTCTATAAATTCTGAATAATCTCCTCCAACATTTCCTAGAAAGAACAATCTCTATCACTTGGCTAATTGTAGAGAAAATAGAGATTAAAGTGGTACACATCTCTAGACTACTTCATTTTAATTGCTAAAACTAGCAGCCTCTTTTAGTCAGTGCTGTGCACTGAGCAGTTTAACAGTAGCACAACTTGAAAGTAGAGAAGAGTGCTCACTAAAGTCAGTGAACAGCAACAGAAACATCAGCCTCAGGTTGGCTAAAATAAAATCAGCTGACATTAGCCTCCAAAGGCTTCTGGTCATATAGAGAGTGACTGTAGCAGCAGAACTGCTGAGTCTATTGAATCTGTTGAGTCTATTGAAAAAAGCAAATGAGCATAATTCTGGTTCTTATTGTTGCTGCTGTAGTGGGAGTAAAGAAAGACTTAAAGGCCGCAGCAATAATGCTATTGTTTTGTTTATTTATCTATTTATTTAGCATGAAAGGTAAACTTTGATATTTGGGAACAGTGTGTGTAACCAGATGATTTTAGCAATGGAACTTTCGGTAGTTACAGATATGCTATTTCTAAGCAAAAACTCTGGACATATAGAATTTAAGAGTCATTGCCAACAGATTTTTTTTCCTGTGGTGATACATTTACAAGAAGGTCAATGCAAAATGAAACTCTTTTAACAAATTAAAAAGTAGAATTAAATCAGCATATTGCAGGGGGAAAAAAACACACACAATCGATGTTTGCTGTGTTGATGCAGTGATTTATTAGAGCTGACATTTCATTGGGTTCGTTCAGAGACTTCAGCAGCTGATAGGTCGTCCCCTGCAGACTCGCAGCCCTCCCTGTCCAATCGCTCTGCTTTGGTTGCATGTTATGTAATTGGGCAGCCTGCATGTGTGGCCGACAGGAGGAAATTAAAAGCGACAGTCTCTGCCCGCTCGCTCTTTTCAGGCACGCAGAGGAGCACTGGGTCTGCCGGCGGTGGACAGGACACACCAAGCTTTACCTTCTCCTTCTGGCTCATATTTCTGTGCATGGTGCATAAAGCTTATTCATGTGAGTGCGGTGCTAATTGCTTCTCTGCCACACACACACACACACACACACACACACACACACACACACACACAGATTGAGTATGTTTGCAACAAGGGATTTTTGGCGTTTGCAGCAACATCTGTGCATAGTACCATCACTGTTAACACAGTATAGCTGCACATGACTCTGTAAAGTGTGGTGGCGATAATATGTGAGTATATTAATAAGATTAATGTTCATACTCATAACTTGAGTTGTCTGTTTGTCAATGGGCTGTCAAAAGCTATAAAACTTCTCTGTGCCTGTGATTGGCTGAACCCAGAGGCAGGAGCTGCAGTGAGAGACGTGACTGGTTAGAGCAGGTTGTCAGGAAAGCAGGCCCCGCCTCTCTCTGGTCAGGGTCAGTGAGAGTCAATAAACTGTCAGACAGTCACGGTTACTGAGCACTATTACTGTTTATGGACTGTTTATGTACATATGTCCTGTATATGTATTTATGGTTGTGATCATATTAGTGTTTTAATGTTGAGGATAAGTATCTATCTAACACCTGCAACTGCATCTAAAATACATTACAGCCTCCTGAAAAATAGATTGCAATGAATCCGACCTTCATGACAGTTACAGTGAATCCTGTGAAACTCAGTGGTCGCTTTGGAGGCTGCAGTGTGTGGTACTGTTGGTTCATATCAATGAGGGAAGGCTAAATACAGCTCAACAGCACCACAAACTACATCCTCCAAAATGATCATACAGGTGAATCAGCGCCTGTCTAAAGTCATTTCAATACATAGTGAACATTATAAGGCGGATTCACTGCAGGACTGTTGTAACAGACTGCAGTCTCAGCTAGGTGTTCCTAATAAACTGCAAACTTGAGTTTATATTGTGCCTGTGTAACATATCTGCACAATGTGTACATAGTCTTCTTCTTCATACACTTCCGTGTTAAAGTGATAAAAACAACAAAGAGCTGCTCAAATAAATACAGCTATGAAATGAATCCTGAAATAAATAAATTAGATAATCACACAGGAATATCCCAAAAACATCTTGATCATCTGCAGCTCTTCCAGAATGTATCTGCCAGAGTTTCAACTAGAAAGAGGAAACACACCTGTGCTGAGGTTGTTACATTGGCTTCCAGTAAATTTTAGAAAATTGATTTTTATCATTTTAATGCATGGTGCAGGGCGCTTAGACCCCTCAGGTCAGCTGGAACAGGCCGTCTGGTTATTCCCCGGGTCTCCACAAAAACTGGTGAAACTGCCCTCAGCTTTTATGCTCCAAGCTGCTGGAACGTGCCGCCTGATCATATTACAGCTGGTGCTACATTATCATCTTTTAAATCTGAACTGAACACTTTCCATTTTAGCCGTGCTTTGCAGTCGTCTGGTTTGCTGCTCTTAATTTACCATTTATCTAACTTTTATTCCTTTGATTGGTTTTATATGTCTTAGTTTTATTGGACTAATTATTATTTTATTTAATCACATTTCATTCCTACTTTTTTAATTGTTCTCATTTACAAAATCTTTTTACTGATCGGTGGTTTGGTCTTAAATATTTTATTTTCTTAATGGTTTTTATTCATACGTATCATTGATGTGAATGTTTTATCTTTACACTATCCACATAGTTTTTGTGGTTGCAACCTCCTTGATAATTCTTGCTTTGTGCAGCACATTGTGCTTCCACCTGGAATGAAATGTGCTGTATAAACAAAGCTTTACTTTGATTCCTCGTTCTAATTGTCCTGGTGTGTGTCAATGCTCCACAGTGAGGTGTGAGGATGAAGATTGCAGTGATTGGTCAGAGTCTGTTCGGCCAGGAGGTGTACAAGGAGCTGAGGAAGGACGGTCACACCATCGTAGGAGTCTTCACCATCCCCGACAAGGATGGCAAGGCTGACCCACTGGGTGAGAACTGCACTGACTGGGACCTCAAACAAGGAATTTACCACCAGTTAGAGTGAAATATTGAACAAGTATCCAAACAAAATAAGCAATATTTTTAGCACACCTGTCCTGTATTGACTCACGATGGTGCCAAATGAAGTTTGGACTCGTCACACCACTGGTTTTGCCACTCAGGTCGTCCAAAAACTCAAAGTAGCTCTCCTGTAAAAAATTTTATCTTTATATGTGACATTATCATCATCTTTATATCTGGACAATCTACAGCAATAAAATTCCATTTGAGTTTAAACTATAAATTCCAACTTCTTAGTATTCGGCCAAGATCAATTTAAACCTCTGCCTTAAGGATTTACAGCGTACTGCACCCACAGAGACTTCATAGACTTCAGAGCTGTTTCATGCTGTAGCTGTGGTATGCCTAAATAATGTAACTATATGTCAGGGCTACAGCAGCTACAAATATGGCTCATGGGGAAAAGTCATGCAAGAAGTGTGATTGGTTAGTATTCGCTAACAAGTTTCTGATGGAGGTAGAGTTTGTCGAGAAAAGAATCCTGTCTTCTTCTCATTTGTCAAAATCCCAGTGTCACTCGTCTTCATGAGCTTTCATTTGTTCTGAAGTCGTCTGAAGGTTTTCTGTCAGACTCTCCCTTCGTAGCTGAAAACCTTCTCAAATCTGGCTCTGAAGGTGTGAAACACTGTGGACGTGAAACTGAAATACGGCCATGTGCAATATCCAAATAATGAAGATCAAATGTGTCACATTGTTGTTCATTGTTAGCACCATAAGTGTTGTGTTGCTACAGAGACGCCCCGACCCACAAATCATATTCTCCAGACGTGAAGGAACATGTTTGTTTGGTACAAGAACCAACAAAAATCACACTATCATCATTTTTTTCAGTGAAATTGAAAATGCAAAAACGACCATTCCAACTGAAATCGCAATAGCTGCCAAAATAATTCTTTTTACCCTTTAGCCCTATAATCCAGCTTTTGAAATTTTACATCCCACATGTGAAAAAGTATTGCACAGTTTTGCAAAATGACATTAATTTTGGGTGCAGTCAGAAGTGCAAACAATTCAAACTTTTAACCCACGTGCCAGTGCAGAACTATTTTATCACCATTTTATGTTTTTGTTCATTCTTGTTTCTTGGTGTTGTGAATCATTCCTGTTTGTTTACTACTGGTGACACACATCACCACAAACGCTTTCTTAGACCACTAATCTCTGATACTATTTCCCATTTATTTCTCTTTGATAATATGAAAAAAAGTTTTATTTTGAAGCTTCGGCACCAGCAGGTGTAGTTTTCACCATCTTTACAAAATTGCAATTGAATGCAACATTACATTTGGACTATATTCCATATACAGTCTTACATTTCACAGTGTAAAGATACCAGAATTGATAACTGATTAATCATTTCACATTCACAACAACATTCACTATTCTGATAATAAACGGATTAATCGGATTAATCCTCCATTGATGATATCATCTTTAGATCTACCTTTGTTACTGAAACCATTTTTGCATGACACAATTTAAGAGTTTGATCATTCTTTTAGCCACTGAGGCCGAGAAGGACGGTGTGGCCGTCTTCAAGTTCCCCCGCTGGCGTGTGAAGGGCCAGGCCATCCCCGAGGTGGTGGCTCAGTACAAGGCCACGGGAGCCGAGCTCAACGTCCTGCCCTTCTGCTCCCAGTTCATCCCCATGGAGGTCATCGACCACCCCAAACACGGCTCCATCATCTACCACCCCTCCCTGCTGCCCCGCCACAGGGGGGCCTCTGCTATCAACTGGTGAGTAGTCCGTCCTCCTGTAAAAAAACAAAAACAAAACCACAGATCATCATCTAGTGGTCATAGTAATTACCTACCTACAAAGGTAGGTATGCTGCTGCCAGTACAGTCTGTGTGTTTATTATTGTATCGATGACAATGCCGCTGTAGGGGCGCTATTTCAGGAGACACTGCTATGGGTGGTATCAGAGGGTTGACGAAAAAACCTGTTTTTTTTTGGGGTTTTTTTTGGGGGGGGGGCGCATGGTGACATGTCCAGTCTTTTATCTGTTGTCTCTGACCATACAGGACCCTGATCCATGGTGACAAAAAGGGTGGGTTCACAGTGTTCTGGGCTGATGATGGACTAGACACCGGACCAATCCTGCTGCAGAGGGAGTGTGATGTTGAACCCAATGACACCGTCAACACAATCTACAAGAGATTCCTGTTTCCAGAAGGAGTCAAAGGCACAGTAAGTATGGTGAGGGAGCAAGGCATTATGGGTGGGAAAAAACACGAGCAGAGAGAGAGAGAGAGAGAGAGAGAGAGAGAGAGAGAGAGAGAGAGAGAAGAAGAGAGAGAGAGAGAGAGCGAGAGAGAGAGAGAGAGAGAGAGAGAGAGAGAGAGAGAGAGAGAACCTGCCATAGTTAAAGTTTAACATGCTTTTGTTTTTCCTCGGAGGTTACAGTCGGTCATCTGGCACAGCTGTGTGTAGGATGTATCAAGAGCTCAGTCTGTCTACATGGTGCCTTATTTAAGAGTAGACTTTGGATAATGTAGGATTGACCACCATACAATAAACATAGATGTCATTCACAGTTGAGTCTGCGTTCAGCCTGCGTTTGATGTAGCTGTACTGTTGTTTCTTGTCTTACTTAATTTACAATTAAAGTTGCATGAATCTTTTTTTTTATTTGTTTTGGCCACTGGGGGCAGAACTCCACAACAACATGAAAATCACAGACATGTGACATAAAAATGTACTTTTGAATGGAGCTGTGGACTTTGTCCACCTCAGTTGCACAAACGACCTATGGGTTACTTTTTTACAGGAGGACAGTCTTTAAGTTCAGTTCACAGTTTTTACTAGAGCTTGAACATTTGTATGCCTCAGAGACAGCGTCAGCCAGAGGCATATTGTTTTTAGGTTGTCCATCTGTCCCTCCATATGTACGTATGTACTTGGACATTCTTGTGGACATGATATCTCAGTAACTCCTTGAGTTAAAAAAGTCAAAGGTCACACAAATGGTTCATATTTTATTTGACTGGATAAACAGGGATGTAATTAGGGATGGGTACCAAAACCTGGTATTAAACGGCCCTGGGGCTTAATCTTTTCAGACCGGGGCATCAATAAACTCAGTTCTATTATCAGTTCTATTCTCTGTATTTGAGAAATTAAGAAAATTTATTTTTTGTTTATTGTTGCAACATAAAAGTTCTCCTGCACATTTTCTCCCACCAACCCTGCTTGTTATTAAGACATTCGTCTATGAATGATGCATTTTCGCTGTTACTAATCCAGAGGAGAGACCTCACTCTCTCTCTCTCCCCCTCTCCCTCTGTTTTTTATCCAAGGAAAACATCAAGTTTGCATTTCTTTTTTTTTTTTTTTACATTATTGGGAGAAGCAGCAGTGCAGACTTGTTTAAATCAATCAGCACATAAATTAATGGGTAATTAATCAAACATCAACACCATTGTGGATAACACAACACAACTTTGATGAGTCTATTGATAGATTTTTGTTTGCAAAATGGTCAGGTGTGAAATAAATTATATGTGAATTGAATTCAAAATTACTGAGGTGGTCCTTTTTAAGTAGCAGCAGGAACAAAAACTTGTCATTCACAGTCCAAAATATGAGCAACTCTTTCTCTTTTTATTAACAACACTAATAGGTGGATCCGGGAGAGAGCCCCCTCCATCTCCCTCATAAAGTCTTTACTAGTCACGATGACGACATATGCCGTAGGTAAAGCTAACAAGTGAATCAATCAGTGTATCATGTCATGGATTCTCCTGCTTCTCTATCTTCAGGCGCCAGAAGTCCATTTCCACATGACAAACACTGTGATGGCAAAGTCCATACAGATAGCATTCATGTGTTGCTTCAGTGAACTGAACTACATTGTTCTGGTTCCAGGTGGACGCAGTGAGGTTGATTGCACAAGGGAAGGCGCCAAGAGTCACCCAGCCACAGGAGGGAGCCACATATGAGTGCATCCAGAAGAAAGAAAATTCTAAGGTACAGATCCGCACAGCTCACTACTACTTAGACCCGTTTGTTTATAAGAAAGCATGTGTAGAGTCTGTGGCGTTCTTCAGTGTACCACAGTGCAGTTGATGATTTCTCAGCAGACATGAGTTGATTTCAGGGGAACAACAAAGAACTGATGAACACAGATTTTAAAAGTGACAGTTATGCTCACCTGGTGATTAAAGTTTTCAGGACCTTAAAGGTTACATTTGACCACAGAAAATACTTTTGTGACTGAGGAACTGTGAGGTCACAGGAAGTGAAAAGGCAAAGTCCGATTCATTCAGATTTTTTGAGAGGTAATCATAATGGTTTTGCTGTTTGTTGACAGATTGACTGGAACCAGACTGCTGAGGGTCTCCACAACTGGATCAGAGGAAACGACAAAGTCCCCGGTGCCTGGGCAGAGGTTGATGGGCAGGTAACAGGACACTGTATTTTTGGATACTCAGTTGTTACAGCAATTCTATTTTTTTTTCTTACTGCTGAACATGGAAAGTTAAGGAGATCTTTAAACATGAAAAATAAGTGTTGTATAATTTTGAAGTAGAATCTAGACAAATGAGAGTATTTTTATATATTTTAGAGCTGCTCCAGTATCATGTATGATTATAAAAGTATATATCACATATGGTATAATATAAAATTTTGGACTGAGAGAACTGCTTTTACTTCAAAAGGATCCTTTCAGAACAAACAGATGTGACTCAGACAATGCAGTCATGTTCTTGGATAATCGTTACAACAGTGATCGAATGTGTCCAAAACTCCAGTGTTTATCCGGACATGAAAACTGGTCCACACAACTGCTTGATAGGACTCAGAATAAATGACTTATTAATGAGTGCATGTTACAGACAGGAATCCTTCCTTAGAACACAAAATGAAGCTGAGTGTGATTACAAGTAGTGAAATGACTAATTACTTGCTAATGGTGATTTCTTACCATCATTACAAATAGAATATTTAAGTTCACATCATGCTGTAACAGGTGATTGTGACTTTGATCTGGGTGTTGCTACCAATTAAAAAATCCCTCAGATGAAAATCAAGTGTGTAACCTTGTTAACATCCATGTGGTGTTTTTATATAATACAAGACATATGATGAGTGAAATAATCATCAACACCAGGACTGAGAATTTCCACCATGAACTGCAGTGAACAATGACAGTTTCATAACAACAGATTCAGACAGCCAGGGTTTCATATGTAATGCACAAACTAGCAACTGTTGAACAGCAGCTGGTATTATAGCAACACATTCTTCATCAACAGTTTCTGTGCAGATATTTACAATGTGACACCTCTGATGGTTAAATTGTTTCACTTTATTTGTATCATAAAATACACCTCAGAGGAAGGACATCTGTATGAAACATCTCTGCATTATTTGATAAACCATTTAATTGGGCCATCTAGTTGCATCTTATTTTATCTTATTTTTATTATTTCCAAAAAACAGAAACTGAGTTGAATTAGATATTGTCTCCACCACAGCTGTGCTGTCTTGTGTCTCTGTTCCTGTAGAAAGTGACTTTCTACGGCTCCTCTCTGATGAATAAAGGCTCCACCGCTAAAGGTCAGGCCCTGGAGATCCCCGGAGCCAGCCAACCCGGAATTGTCACCAAAGCAGGCCTGGTGCTGTTTGGCAATGATGGCAATGCAGTAAGTGTCTCTGACTGAGCTGTTGTGCTTGTGTGTGATTACATTTCATATCAAGCAGTTGACTTGATTATTTTGAATTATATTGTTAGTATACTGAAGGATTTCAAGGGTGAAAAGCTTTGAATATGAAAGCAGCTGATGAGTGTCTTTTGTGTCAATTATGTAATGTTCCTTCACATCAACAACTGTTCTGGTAAAAAATGTTATATTTCTATTGTGGTGTATGACTGAAGCTTAGTAACATATTTCTTCTTTAAATATGAAAATGCAGCACTGGCACTGTTGCAAATGTAAATGAGCATTTCACGTTCACATAACTTGCTTATAACAGGATAGTAATAAAAATTTGTTAGTCTCCCTACAACCAAACTGAATGTTCCAGACTGGAACATATCAAAAGGACACCAGATAGTGGTTTCCAACTCCAGAAAGAAGTTTATTATTGAACAAACAAGTATTTAACAAAACTCAAGGGAACAAAAAAGGGGGTGGAAAACCCGGCCAAAAAGAACAAAAGGAGAGGCCGCTGAACCAGCCGTGCCATGGGCTGTCGCACTGAGCAAATCCCCTCTAACATTCCTCTTTAAACCAACCTAAACCGAAACAAAAAGCAATAACTAAACCACTGGTGATCCCCAACACCGTACGTAACATAAGAAACAAAAAACAAACAACAAAAAAGCAGCGCTCTGACCAAGGCTAGAGAACCAGGACCAGGCTGGGAGGAGATTCCCTTCCCCAACACCTGACAGGTAGATGGCAACTGTGGCAGCAGACACACACAGCTCCATTACTCCAGTCAGAGTAGATCCTCCCGGTCAAATATTTCTCCAATACAAGTGAAAGTTGTTCAGTCAGATTTTAACTTGAGTAAAAGTACTAGAGAACTTGATTTTAAAAATAATGAAGTATCCAAAAGGTCTATCACACTTTCAAAATAAAAGGAAATTCATTGAAAAATACAATATTTTTAGTGTAGTGGAGTAAAAGTCAGAAGTTTCCTAAAAGGTACCTAAATTCACAGATGCCTGTGCCCTATTCTCTACTCAGATTTTATAAAATCAACATGCATCATTAATGATGTCTAATACTCTCAGGCCACACTTTGACTCGTGTTCGATTTGACGCCATTAACTTTACAAACGTGCAACTTCATCGACTGCCTCTCAGTAAATGACACATCACAATCCCCGCATTTGTATGGTCTCTCATCTTTATGTTTGGTTAAAATGTGTTTCTTCAGCATGCGATCTCTGTTGAATGCGTGACCACAGACGTGGCACCTGAACGGCTTCTCTCCTGTGTGAGTCCTTATGTGTTCTATCATGTGTCCTTTCACTTTAAAACACTTGTTGCAGTGTGTACAGCTGTAGGGTCTCTTTCCTTTGTGCACTTTCATGTTGTTCCGCAGATTTCCGTGATCGGGGATGAGCTCACCGTCAAACTTTCTGCTGCCATCACTTGACCTGCTTTTATGTGTCTTGAGGTGCCGTGTAAGCAAAATTCTTTTGGTGAAAAGGCAGTTGCACATCTGACAGCTGTATAAGGTAGTGTTAGTCTTCTTCTTAGAGCGCCCCTCCTCTGTCGTTTGCTTCGGCTCTCTGCTCTCCTCTGCTGGTGTACAGCCCTCTGACTGCTGCACTGTTTCGATGAGTTCCTTCGTTAAGGCGTCCCCATCGTCACGGTTCTCAGCTGAAGGCTCTTCCTTGAACCCATTGATCAACAGATGCACCTTCTCCTCTTTCATGTGGGAGGGTGCTGACTCTCCCACATGAACGCTCGGGCACCTGTCCTGCTGTTTAGGGGAAATGTCCTCTGCAGATGTAGGTAGAGTTGGCTGTTTGGCGTCTGCAAGGATGGAAACAGAAATGCATTAGACAGACATCATCGCCAAAACACTGCTTCCATCAATGTGATTTTGCTGTCAGTGTTTATCTTTATTCATGTTAGCTAGTATAGTTCACAACCACATCTTCAAATCATGTGAATCCATCTTCACGTTCATCTGTTCCAATCCCTCACATCTTGCCAGTGACTTTGTTTACAGCCATGCTGCAGGTCACCAGTCAATCACAGGGCCGAATGTCTGTAATTTTTTTCTAATTACACAGCTACACATTTTTATGCCTCAGCGCCGACAACTGCCAGAACCAGACGTATATTGTTTTTGGGTTGTCAGTCTGTCTGTCTCACCCTCGTGAACTCGTGAATGTCAGTAATGCTGATTCGAATTTGGTTGTGAAAGGTCAAGGTCATGGTGACCTCACAAAACAAGGTTTTAGTGTCTTGAATGTGGTATCTCAAGACCACCTTGAGGAAATCTGATAAGATTTGGCACAAATGTAAACTTGGACTAAAGAATTAACAGTTTTTGGTGGACAAAGGTCACAGTCATCTCATGTTCTTGTGAATGCAATATATCAAGAACACCCACTTCTGTCACACTGTGACCTCACAAAACACGTTTTTGGTCATAACTCACACATTCATTCACTAATTATTAAAGAAACAATTACCCCCTTCGTTAGATTCAACACATTACGTACTTTTGAACTTAAGCAGTAGTTGGCCTCAGCATTTCTACATCTGCAGTATATCACAGAGAGATAGTGACATCATGGACTACCTTCATGTGCTTATTGAACATAATGAGCAGAGGAAAGCACTGGCTGCACTTGAACGACATGCTCTCCCTGTGTTTGATCCTGGTGTTTTGTCATATTTGTAGATCTGTTGAAGCTTTGCCCACAGATGCAGCATGTTTATGGTCTATCCTTAGTGTGACACCTTACATGTTCTTTTGAGTGAATTTTAAGTCTGTATCTCTTTACACAAATGGGTCAGGCAAATGGTTTCTCGTCAGTTTGCACTCTCATGTGACAGATCATTTGACTTCTGTTGTCCAATATTCGACCACAATTGCACAGGTCTACTCTTTCCTGGTTGACTGACATCTATTTTTTTCATGAGCTGCAAGGTGCGATTTTAACTTTTTCTTCTTTGTATATACTGGAGATGCTAATGTTAGGCTAATTAAAGATTAATAGAACACCTGTAAAGTGAGTGATACTTGTATTTATAAGTCCCAGTTCTGTTGTACTCTATATCAGCACTCATGGAATGACTCCCGTCCAATCAAATTACTTGGTTGGGACTAATTACTGCATAACACAATTTAGCCAAGCCTCATCAAAGTTAAATTAAACCAGACTTGAAGAAGCTGCATTGTGCGCGTGCACGGACTATATTAGCAGGCCAGAACAGTCGACTGTCGAAAAGAAGCTCATGTAAAGCCGCGTTTCGAAAGGTTCCTATACCGCAGCCTAAAGTCCCAGGAAGATTATGCAAAATTATTACTTGACATTACATTATTCACAGCACTTTGAGGACATAACATGAACGAAAATACGGGACAAATTGCGTATATATTCAATACAGCATTTTATTTTCAAATACGGGACGATCCCGTATTATACTTCACGGGTGGCAACCCTCGCCACTCCGGTTGTTGCGGTCCTTTTCTTTTTTTGAGGTCCTGTTTCAGTTTTTTACCTTCTCCTGTTTCGCGGTGTGGAAAGTGTGTTCGCTCGGTTCCCGCTCCCTGCGGACTTTTAAACATGGCGGGTGAAATAAAATGCAGCGAGTACTCGACCAGTCAGAAATGTTCAGCACTGTAGACCACACCCCCCAAAGTCCTTGAACCTTTGGAAAGTACTACCCCCCGACCAGGTACCTTTTCGGGGGTCGATCATATACCCCGGAGCTAAATTCTAGGGAATCCTATAGGCCACAATGATTGAATGGAACTCTGACTATATTAGCGAGACTTAACAAAATAAGCCAGGATTTCTCTTTTATCTTTTGTCTGCCTTGACGGAATAGGGCATAAAATCATAAAGTTGTCTGCTGCTGCCTGAGAATTTACACTGAATGTGTTTGAGAAAATGCCTAACACAGAACCTGGGCTTATTGATCACGCCAGTGTGTCATTTAGATTAATCGTTTACATTTGTCAACTACTCAATATAAATTCGATAGATTAATCATTAGAAAAATAGTCGTTAGTGGCAGCCCTATTTAAATGTTAGATTTATGGGCTTTGCAGTGATTTTTGGTGGTTGTAGCCTACCTCCTCAATCCACACACCTCATAGGTGGCCACCAGAACAACTAGCATTATATTCAAATTAAAGAAAATGGAGTTTGATCATATCAGAACTGCATAGTCGTGTATAAAAACCTGAATGACAATTTACATTTTTCATAAAAATTCTATTTTGAGTTGTTTATCGCCTTGATCGATGATCCCGCTGCTTCCACAACAATGGCTCTACATGTAACTAGCTGCGGAAAGTGGCTAAAAGTAGCCACCGGCTACTTTTACTTTTTAGCCACTGGCTAAAAGTAGCTAGTGCTGCTGAATGTAACGAATAAAAACCCGCTGACTAAGTCTCTTACATGGTGTTTTCTAATGTGATTTACTAACCGGGGATGAATAACGGTATAAAGTAACAAACATACCTGCTCTGTGCAATCTTATCTCCGGTTTGTAGACCAAATCCAGCAACCGCTGCAGTCTCTGGTTTTCTCGCTTGGTCCGGTACACTTCCTCTTCGTAGTTTGCCACTGTCTTTTCAACGAAGCCATAGATGTCTATTGCAGCAGCGGTTAATCTTTCCATCAGAAAGACGTTGAATGACTGAAGAGTGGCCATTCTGCAAAGTGGTCGTTCGAGTTGAGTATGCTCAACAAAACATATTCCTCTCATTAAGTATGGTCCTGCAGTACCGGAAGCTGCTATTTCTAGGACCCTAGTTATTCGCGCCACCTAGCGATTAGGTTGCGGTGGCGGCAGTTTCAGGATTGTATTTAACTGCCACAAGGGGTTTTGTCCACCAAAATATAGCTTTTTATTCAAGTAATTGTATTTTTATGCGCGTGTTCCACCCAAAACTTTTTTTTTTATCCAATTGTAGTTTTAATGGTGTTTTCCACAAAAATACTACAAATAAAGATGGAAACATGCTATGACTTTTGCAGTCACTAGATCTCAACCAGATATTTGAAAAGCTTGGAGAGGCAAGACAGAAGGACAACTCATGGGACAGATTCAGGATTATATACTGTATATACTTAATATATATATGTGTGTGTGTGTGTATATATCCTTTAATACAATTATAAACAATAACAAGGAATGTAAACAAATGTGTGCAACAAGTGGGCAAGTGGAGGACACTGGGGGACAATCACACTGGGGGAAAGAACCTCAATGGATGGATTTATTTACTCGACAGTATGTGACAAAATGTGATGGGATTATCTTTTATTCTGATAAAGCACAAAGCGAGGTACAGTGCATGTCCCTGTCGTCCCCATCAGTCATGAGTCCGACAATGGCAGAGCCGTCATGAGAATTTTCCAGGTGGCAGTAAGTGGAGTTGCAGGAGAAGTCTGCTGTCTGAGGTGACGGTCCACTCCTGTGCACTCCAACTTGTCCCTCAGGAGCGTGGGCTGGATGGTGTTGAAAGCACTGGAGAAATCAAAGAACATGATTCTCACAGTGCTGCAGAAGGTAGATGAAGTCTGTCTTGCCTCGATCCTCCTGAGTTCTCTCCTCACCCGGCTTGTTGTGAGGGACAGGTTGGAGCCGGGTGACTGTGTGCTGGAGGTTGGGGATGAGGGGGAAGGGTAGTGGACAGGAGATGTAGTGGATGTGTGTGCTTGTGAGCCAGGTGATGTGTGAAGTGGAGCTGGGGTGGGGCAGACCACAGGGGGCTCAGATAATGATGGCTGCAGCAGGGAGGACAGGATGGGGGAAGGGGCAGATGACTGATCAAATCTATTGAAGAAGAGATTCAGGTCATTAGCCGGCCTCCTGTCCCCTGCTGGGAGTTGGGTTCCTTTCAGCCTGAGCTAGTTCTAACGCCCCTCCAAACTCTGCTGATGTTGTTCAGCTGCTGGTTCTCCATCCTCCTCCTGTAGCTGTTCTTCCCCTCCCTGATCGTTCTCCACAGCTCCCTCTGCACTTTCTTCAACTCCTCCTTATTTCCCGACCTGAAGGCTCTCTTCTTTTGTTTGAGGAGAACCTTGATATCAGGAGTGATTCAGGGTTTATTGTTTGAAAAACAAGAAGATGATCAGAAGATCCCAATGAGCAGAACGATTAAGAATCGCTGTACCCGGCCCGGAGGGATACCGGGGCTCCGCCCTGGAGCCAGGCCTGGAGAGGGGCTGGTCTTTTCCTCTTTGCTGGAGTTGCTCCAGGGGAGAGGCTCTCTGCCTGTATGTTGGGGTTCACCCCGGTGGACGAAAGGGTTGTGTCCCTGCGTCTGCGGGTCGGGGATCGGGTTCTGACTGTTGTCGGTGCCTATGCACCGAACAGCAGTTCAGACTACCCGCCCTTCTTGGAGTCCTTGGGACGGGTGCTGGAAAGTGCCCTGAAAGGGGACTCCATTGTCCTATTGGGAGACTTCAATGCTCACGTGGGCAATGACAGCGTGACCTGGAGGGGTTTGGTGGGGAGGAACGGCCTGCCCGATCTGAACCTGAGCGGCATTCAGTTATTGAACTTCTGTGCTAGTCACAGTTTGGCCATAACTAACACCATGTACAAACATAAGGACGTCCATAGGTGCACATGGCACCAGGACACCCTAGGTCGCCGGTCTATGATCGACTTTGTAGTCGTATCATCAGACCTGCGGCCGTATGTTTTGGACACAAACGGGTTGTGAGGGTCTGCTGGGAAAGCCTGGCGGAAGAACCCGTCAAGATGATTTTCAACGCACGCCTCCGGCAGAGTTTCGATCACGTCCCGAGAGTGGTGGGGGACATTAAGTCCAAATGGGCCTTGTTCCGCTCTGCTGTTGTTGAGGCGGCTGTTGCAAGCTGCGGCCGCAGGGTAGCTGGGGCCAGTCGTGGCGGTAACCACCGTACCAGCTGATGGAGTGGCAAACCGGGGTGGTGGTCCCCATCTTTAAGACGGGTGACCAGAGGGTGTGTTCCAACTACCGGGGAATTACACTCCTCAGCCTCCCCGGTAAGGTCTATGCCAGGGTACTGGAAAAGAGGGTCGCGGTCGGTAGTTGAACTCAGATCAAGGAGAGCAATGTGGTTTTCGTCCTGGACGTGGAACTGTGGACCAGCTCTTTACCCTCGCTATAGGGTGCTGGAGGGAGCATGGGAGTTTGCCAATCCAGTCCACATGTGTTTTTGTGGATTTGGAGAAGGCTTACAACCGTGTCCCTAGGGACTCCCTGTGGGGGTGCTCCGGGAGTATGGGGTGGATGGCCCCTTGTTAGCGGCCATTAAGTCCCTGTACCAAAGGAGTGTGAGTCTGGTTTGCATAGCCGGCAGTAAGTCGGACCTGTTCCCGGTGAGGGTTGGACTCCGTCAGGGCTGCCCTTTGTCACCGGTTCTGTTCATAACTTTCATGGACAGAATTTCTAGGCGCAGCCGGGTGGTGGAGGGGTTTGGGTTCGGTGGCGGGAGGATCTCGTCTCTGCTTTTTGCAGATGATGTTAGCTTCATCGAGCACCGACCTTCAGCTCTCGCTTGGGCCGCTCGCAGCCAAGTGTGAAGCAGCTGGGATGAAGATCAGCACTCCAAGTCTGAGGCCATGGTTCTCAGCCGAAACGGGTGGATTGCCCGCTCCGGGTCCGGGGAGGTCCTGCCTCAGGTGGAGGAGTTTAAGTATCTCGGGATCCTGTTCACAAGTGAGGGTAGGATGGAACGGGAGATCGACAGGCGGATTGGGGCGGCGTCAGCAGTGATGCGGGCGCTGAATCGGTCCGTTGTGGGGAAGAGGGAGCTAAGCCGGAAGGCGAAGCTCTCGATTTGCCGGTCGATCTACGTTCCAACCCTCACCTATGGTCATGAGCTACACATGTCTGAAATAAAATCTTTAGGTATGTAGACAATGCTGAAACTTTCATCCTGCCTTTCCATCTGGTGTACTATATATTCTTCTGCCAAGTCCGGTCTTTTCCATGAATGCGAATTTAGCTCTATACCCCACATGCCCTGAATTCAATGGTAACAATACGTTCAGTTCAAGCTTGATATGATCTTTTTCCAATTTGTGTTTGAGAACCCGTCTTTCTTCGCTTCACGTTCTACTGTTTCCTATAAACTGCAAAACTCACACGTAGGCTACCGGTTGCATGTTTATTTTATGTGTACTGTTAAGAACAGTATGTCCAAACCTTATCCTTGATATGATGTCTTGTGTGTAATTAAGGACTGTTGCTAAGGAGGAGTGCTACTGAGACATATGACCTTTCTTGATATCAGATTTTATTCAGTTGTTACGATCATTTCACACTCTTTGTCCGTCGCTCTCTCTGTCTCTCTCTGCAGCTGTTGGTGAAGAATCTGCAGTTCGAGGATGGGAAGATGATTGCTGCAGCACAGTACTTTAGCTCAGGGAGCAGTGCTGCTGTGGAGCTCACTGAGGAGGAGAAAAGCTTTGCTGAAAAGATGAGGGTAGGTTTTCTCACTGATTCAAGGGAAGTGGGAAAAAAATTGCCAGTGAAATGCTGATTTTTAACAATGTTTCCTCACAGGCTGTGTGGCAGAGCATTCTGACTAATGTGAGTCATATCGAAGACTCCACTGACTTTTTCAAGTCTGGTGCTGCTTCAATGGACGTGGTCAGGTAATGAGGAATAAAATTATGTCAAATAGCATTGTTGTTCCTATTCTTCTCTCATTTTAGATTAGAATCTTTTCAATTGTGGTGCTTACAACTTCAAATAAAAATCTGAAAAGCAGACATGGTGGGTTGCTGTAAAAAGGTGGTAGTGTGAACAAAGAACTGCAGCTGCACTTAGTTTGATTTCTTCTAAGGTACTATGTGTTTCTATATTGTTAAACGTTCCCAGCAGAAAATAAGTATAAATATAACTTAAAAACACAATAAAAAATAAAAGCAGAATAGCTCACTTCTCCGAATCCATTTTTATTCCAAGTAAACATTTGTTTATTTAGTTATTTATCGCCAAAATACACTGAATCAACAACAGAGTTTATGGGAAATACAATATGACAAACACTCTCACTAACGATACCCCTGGTGTTAGATAGAGGCTGCTGACTAGTCTTATTTGTTTAGGGCCATTAGTCTAAGGTATCATAACTGAAATAACTTTCATATTTTGAAGTTTACAAAGTGAAATCCATGCCACATGACCTCCAATACTTCATCATCATTCCATCATTTTCCTTTTCCTCGCCCTATGCTTCTCGGTCTCTTGTGTACTCCCCATTCCTCTCCAATTTCCCGCTCCCCTCCTCTGCTTCATCACTCTCTTCCTGTGGCTCCTCAGGCTCGTAGAGGAGGTAAAGCTTCGGGCCAGTAGCTGCCAGCTGCAGAACGAGGACATCTACATGAACACCACCTTCCAGGAATTTATCCAGAAGTGCGTCAGGAAGCTCAGAGGGGAGGACGACGAAGAGGAGCTGGTCGTCGACTATGTGAGTGCAATTTAAATTCATAGAGAACTGTAGTTACTGACTGACAAAGGGATTTTGATTATTGTTATGTACACTGTTTAATTCCACAGGTAGAGAAGAACACCAACAACATGACCATAAAAATGCCTCATCAGCTGTTCATCAATGGAGAGTTTGTTGATGCAGAGGGAGGAAAGACCTACAAGACCATCAACCCGTCTGACGGCACAGTAAGTGATAAAAAAAAAACTATAGAATTACATTTACAGTATCACTCCGTCTTTTATTAGTCAACATCTTTATTTTCCCTGATCAGATCTAAAATAAAGTTATTTTTCATTAATATTTTTGGCTGGACCACAACAGCAGGGCCAGCCCTATAATCTGGAACGTCACTGACTGATCATATTTCCACCACTGGTCAGCGGAGTGCTATGTCGTTGAGTTGGAGTTTCTGGATCAAACAGGTTTTTTTAGTGAGTGTTTACAGCTGCAGTGTTGCCAACTTAGCTCATTGTCTCTAGATTTAGAGACTTGTTTTCAACCAGACTGGGTATAAACCTGGTTCAGGTCTGGACTGTGTATAGATGCTGACCAGGGGCTTAGGACTACACCTCTTGATACAGGCAGTCTACTGAGCAGCTCTGGTTTACCAGCTGCTCAGGAACTGCAGGGAAGAGTTTCCAATACAGTGAGCCTCTCCACCATCACAGCAAATAAACTACTTTCATTACATGTATCATTTTTACTAAAGGAGGCAGAGGAATAACTAAACATGAGACACACACAGCAGAGAGAGCAGGAGAGAGGGAGGGAGAGAGAGAAGTCATCAGTAACGAGGCTTCGTACTAACGACTATGACCAACTCTACATATGAAACAGAGGGAGTTAGACATAAAGACCTGCCTCTAATAAAAGTCTGTTACGTTCTGGATTTGAAGTAAATAAAGAATAAACTATTGTGGATCCAGATGAAGGCTGTGCCTGGCTTTGAGTCTCGCCCGTGGCCCTTTGCTGCATGTCATCCTCTCTCTCTCTCTCTCTCTCTCTCTCTCTCTGTGTGTCTCTCTCTCTCTCTCTCTCTCTCTCTCTATTAGTCTGTCTCTTCTAACTGATCATGTTACAGTAAATCCAGCTGAAATCACAGCTCAGGCTTTGTCTTTCATTCTTGTTATTATACAGCAGAAAACCTGAGATGGTGGCTGCAGCTGTTGATTGGCTGCTAGGTTACAGGTGTTTAAACTGTCTATCAGTCACAATATGTAAAAGATGAAACTAACTTTGATATTATGCAGGTTTTACAGACTGACTTCATCAAGATTTGAATTGAAAACACAGAAGGCTCCATCACCAGTCTTCAAATTGAAAAATAAGAAAAAATCACTATCCAGTATATTGTTGTAATCTTACAGAACTGACCCCACAGGGAGGGAGAGTGTCTTGCCTCAGGGTTGTTTAAGTGCCACTGTTGTCTTCTGTATCTCCTACATGTGTCTGTCTGTCCTACAGGCCATCTGTGACGTGTCTCTGGCCCAGATAAGCGACGTGGACAGAGCAGTGGCTGCTGCTAAGGAGGCCTTTGAAGAGGGAGAGTGGGGGAAAATGAACCCGAGAGACAGAGGCAGACTCATCTACAAGTCAGTAACTCTGCAGCTTCAAAGACCCTCACTCAGCTCTTGACTTGTGATGGGATTCCTATTCGAACACAGTTTTCTGCCAAAGTTACAACGATGTCAGTTACTTCATATAAACAGTGTCTGGAATTCGTTATTTCTCCGAGCTATTCTCAGGGGTTTGAAGTGGACGAGGCTTAGTTGAGAAATGTTATGTTATGTACCGCAACACACCCATTTGAATTCGATGACAGTTGGTCAGTTGTTTGGTAACTGCCAAACAGATCTGATCAAATCACACCCACACAGTCCTGATGAAAACTTTAATCTCATTTATTTAGTCATGAATATCAAATGTTCTAGATAAATACTCAAGATGTAAATCTAAGCTTTCACGGTCTTTATGTTTTTGAGGGCAGCGCACACTCATCCATACACCCGCATTTTCTCTGTGTAAGCCCACACACCAGCTGCCTGGTGACATCACCTCTCAGCTACTGTCTGTGCTGTGGGCTTTAATGGCTGTGACACTTTTTGGATTATTCATTCATTTGTTTTGAGTTTGGATTACTTATATTAATTAGTTTTATTTTTTGATATATTCTCTTTTCTTAGTCATTAGTTTCTTTATATTATTAGCTTATCTAGCATAGTTAGTTTGGTTAACTAATGTTTTGTTTATTTTTGGGTAATTCTATGGACACACAAGGTTATTTATGTAGTTAGACTGGTTTACGACCAGCATGCACCGGGGTGGGCCTATGATTTGCGACCATATATGTTAACAATATATATTTAATTTATAGATGCAAGTTTATTAAAACAACATACATGTAAAAATTCAATTTGATTATAAATTCTTTTCGCATTTATTTCTCATTAATTTTGTCTTCCAGGACAATGTCTATCTTCCTATTTTGGGAAAGTGGTCTCAGACTTTTGGACCATACAATATATAATATCAGCATATTAACAGGCTTTAGGATGATAGACATTTATGTAACATATGTGTATAATATATTATAACAATATAAGCATACATAAATACACATTTGTATGGGGTAGACGTATATGTCAATATATGAAATTATTCCACATTTTTAATAAGTTCCATATATAATTTTTACATACCTGCTTTTATTTTATATTTACATAAATAACATACATGGAAATTCATTACATATACATATATTACATTTTGTGTGTAGGGGAAACCATGATGTAAACAGTGCAGGTTTCAAACTATTCAAAAATCTTCTTTGAAAATGTTTTATGCAGAAGGAAATTGATTTAATGTGTTTGCTAGAGCTCAAGGTTACACACACTGTGTTTTGGTGAGAACCAGTGACTGTAAACTCCGCTGGGTACCTCTAAGATGTCTGGGTACTGTATATAATCTGAACAGACACCTGCCTGCCAGACTGAAACATGTACTTTACGTGGTCATATTGGGGAAACTAAAGATAATCATGAAAGGGTCTTTGTGCTTTAAGGTGACCTGATAGTATTTATTTACTTTGCGTTTATATTTAGCAGCAGAGCCTGACTGAAGTCTCATACTCTGACATTATCAAGCATGTCTCATGATGTAAGTGACCCTCTGCCTCCCTGTCCACAGGCTGGCTGACCTTATGGAGCAGCACCAGGAGGAGCTGGCCACCATCGAATCCATCGACTCCGGAGCCGTTTACACACTGGCCCTCAAGACTCACGTGGGCATGTCCATCCAGACCTTCCGCTACTTTGCTGGCTGGTGTGACAAGATCCAAGTAAGAAATGAGCTTTTAAAGGTCATAAGATGAGATGAACGTTTGATGACTGCTAATGATAGCACTATATGGCTACTAAGCGATAGAATCAAAATAAATGACGTCCTCTTTCCACAGGGCAGCACCATCCCCATCAACCAGGCCAGACCCAATCGTAACCTCACCTTCACCAAGAAGGAACCAATCGGGTGAGAATGAGTCGCTTACATGTCTGTGTGATTAAACACAAACATGTTGTTGAACCCATGTTGAGTAGATAGGAAACCATGACATTACATATGTTATTTGAGATTTCATGAATAGACACGCCTGGACACGACCTTCGCTTTGCTGTAAAACAGTAACTGACTAGAATCTAACCCTATGCTGGGAATGGGCGCTGCTCTGTGGCTGCCCAGTGTTCCGGTCAAATGCACAGGATGCGTTTCTCTACATGGATCGATAAAGATTCATATAATTTGTATCACTCACCTAGTTTTTATGTCCTGAGTAAATAAATGTTGAGCAGAAGCAAAATGCAAGTTATTCTACCTGCCAATTGTATAAATGTGCTGATGACATGGTGCCAGCTGGTCGTAAACAGTCAGAGGACACAGTTAATCAGTCACATATTTCCACTACATTGGTGAGTTGACCAAGTGGTGTGAAGACGGTGCCCTGGATATTAACCAAAATAAGACTAAGGAGCCAGTTATTAGGACACTCCACTGTGCCTGTCATTATTTTCCACCTGTTCTGTTTCAGCCTGTCGAAGTGGTAGAACGGTTCAAATATTTAGAAACTTTTTTGAATGCACTTTAAGTTTCACAGCAAACACTGAACACATGATTTAAAAAAATCAATGCAGCGCTTTTAACTGATCAGGAAATTGTAGTCATGTGACATAAGAGCTTTTTAGAGGCTGTTTACAGAGGTCTCGTGGGAAGTGTTTAATATGTGCACATGGTGTGGGCAGCTGGGGGTCTAAGAACAAAAACAGACAGAGCAGGATTACAAACACGGCCAGTAACTTTACTGGGAAAGAGCAGGAACAACTGGAGTGTGTATACAGAAACCAGGTGAAACTGCTCCACAAACTGATCCTGTTCATCCGCTTTTTAAAGACTTCACTAAACAGGGAAACGCTGTAACAACCAAGAACAGTTACAGAAAGTCCTTTATACTAAATGCAATAACTTTGTTGAACTCAGAAGCATCATTCACACTGAAATCATGTCTGTTATTGTTGTCTGTACTGTGCATTTTGTGCTAATTTTATTATCGTATTTACTGTGTCACAAAGATGTGATGATGTGTTTTAACCAGCCTGTGGAGCCAAAGGCAAATTTCCACATTTGTGAACAATAAAGATTATTGTTATTATTATTATTAAATGCTATAGAACACCTTAACTTAAACGTATGAGCACTTAAAGCCATTCCCTTGAATCTCAATTTGTTTCCCATATAAGGTAAATACAAAGATGAGGAGAGAAAGAGGACTGAGTCTTTAGTAAAAGCCCTCCCTTTTTTTTTTCTCTCAGAGTGTGTGCCATCGTGATTCCCTGGAACTACCCTCTGATGATGCTGGCCTGGAAGACAGCAGCCTGCCTGGCAGCTGGAAACACAGTGGTCCTCAAACCTGCTCAGGTCAGCCTCCACTCTGGCCGTCAGACTATTTTCGTACAGGACTGAATGAAAAAGGCTGTGCAGTCTGCAGTGATACTGTTGACACAAGTCAGAGCCGCATATTGAGGCACATTGTTTTCTGGTTGTCTGTCTCATTCTTGTGGACACGACATCTCAGTAACACCTCGACAGATTTTCTTTAAATTTGTCACAAATGTTCACTTGGACAGTGGTTCCCAACATGTGGTCCGTGCCCCACTAGGTGGGGCCGCGAAGGTATTGCAAGTGGGCCGTCAAATCATTTGGAAAACAGTAAAGTTTTGTTGAAAAACGTTACCTAATTATAAAAAAATAAAAATCTAAATATTAAATTTAAATGTCTTAAAATTAAATGATCATTAACAGCTTTAAAAATGTTTAAAAACCTCCTTTCATTGGTTTTTTCCACTGTGATAAGCCAGTGGTAGAAGCCGGCTTGGACCACATCGTATACTTGCATTGTTACGGGGTCCAGTGTGGGCCACCAACATTTTTGAGATTTTCAAGTGGGCCATGAGTCATTAAAGGTTGGGAACCACTGGATTAGATTTTGGTGGTCTAAGGTCAAAGTTCAAGGTCACAGTGATCTCACGTTCTCGTGAATACAATATATTTCATCACTTCTGACACACTGTGACCTCACTAGGTTATGTTTGTCTCCAGGTGACTCCACTGACGGCTCTGAAGTTTGCTGAGTTGGCAGCAAGAGCAGGACTGCCCAAAGGTGTCATCAATATTCTGCCTGGGTCAGGTAGGAACATCCTTGTTTCTTGTTTTATGGTAGATAATCCCCAGAATAACCGAGCGCTTTTTAAACAAGCAGCTTTTCGCCCGAGGCTGAGCCATGTGCGCTGTTAGTAAACTCATGCTTTTCTTTTAAGGTGCTCTGGTGGGTCAGCGTCTGTCTGACCATCCTGACGTCCGTAAACTGGGCTTCACGGGTTCCACTGAGATCGGTAAACACATCATGAAGAGGTGAGTGAACCACATTTACAAAACCTGATCCAAACTGAATTAAACTTTGCTGCTCATCTTCGTGTATGTTTGTTATTATTCATCTGAAGCTGTGCAGTTAGTAACGTAAAGAAAGTCTCTCTGGAGCTCGGAGGGAAATCCCCACTCATCATCTTCAGTGACTGTGACATGGACAAGGCTGTGCGCATGGTAAGAGGTTTTTGTCATATTGCTCACATTTAAAAACTACAGTGTTTAACCTTTTTTCTAATATTTTGTTCTTTGGAGTTATTTTTTTTTAACTCCAAAGCACATCTTAACGTAGAGAGGTTCTGTCAAAAGCTTTTCTGACCCACAGTCATCGAATAGCATTTATGATTGAACTTCACCCTTCTATCCAATCAGATAAGGCCAAAGTTAAGGGTGCACAGCTGGCAGTCAGTAATACACTTCTGGACCCGTATTCACAAAGCATCTTAAAGCTAAAAGTAGCTCTTAACTTCACGATTTAGGAGAAACTCCTAAAAATAATGGGCGTGTATGATGTCGGGTCTGAGCGCATTTATTGTTTGATGAATAGCTTGCCTTACAAACGGCTTGGAGATCTCCAAGTTGTCAGCATTGCAAAGTTACAGTTTCCCTGTTGCCAAGTAACACAGCGTTGCCAAACACTTAGTTTCCGCACTGATCGGGTTGTTTCAGTTGGAGATGTTACTGCATCCCTCACAAACTCCACAGCGATCATTATTCCCGATCATTATTAGGTTGTCAGTGTTCAGTTGTCCTGGAAGCAGACATTAAAGTCGATCATGTTAGCACGAAAAGAAGCTGTCCCCATGTCGTCGCTCCACCCACGACCCAAATGTAGATTCATTCAGTAAGTAATAAGCTTGTAGTTAACGCCATGAGTAACCAGCGTTACACTATCAGCTGCTGGAAGATGTCGCTGTGGCTGACGCACATGATTCCTGCATTCGCAGAGTAGGTTGAGGATGGGGCAGGAAGAGGAAGTGGAGAGGTCGTCTTGTGCTAGTGCCAGCTTGATTTCGAGACCTTAAATATTGCAGCATTAAATGGTTACAGAGTTAAAAGTACTGTGTTGATGTGTGTGTACTCCAGGGCATGAGCTCCGTCTTCTTCAACAAGGGAGAGAACTGCATCGCGGCGGGCAGACTGTTCGTGGAGGACACCATTCATGACCAGTTTGTTAAGAGAGTGGTATGTGTCTTTTTATCTAACACTGCTGAGGTCTTATAATTCACATTTTTCCCCACACCACTGACAAGCAAAAAGCTTCCTAGAGACAATCTCATTGCGTATGAATCCTTCAACTGCAAATTTGCCTCTAATGCCAACACAATAAGTACATTCTGAGGTGGTTTTCATGAGCTTCACCACAGCATGTAGCCATACAGAAATGTAATATCTGACATATATATGAAAATATAAGTTTACAATGAAATACCCATAGTAAAATTTTTATATGAACATATATTAAAAATATCTATGTGATGAATTTTATATATATTTAATTTATATATACAAGTTCATTAAAAAACATACATATAAAAGTTCTATATGCTTATACTGTAATTTTTTTCTTATGAACTGTGAAGATAAATGTATTTTATATTAATGAAAAAAATACAAAACACGTTTATCTAGGAAAGTGTTCTCAGACTTTTGGACCTAATAATACGATCATTCAGCTTGATTGGTTAATTTTGATTAGTAAAATGCCCACCCAAAGCACATATGATCGATTTTTATTATTCTTTCAATTTATACAGGAGGCATCATTGTATTTCCTTTTGTTTGTAATCTTATTATTTTATGTTCTAATGTGAAGACCTTTGTGTCTTTTATCTCAGGTTGAGGAGGTGAAGAAGATGAAGACTGGCGATCCACTGGACCGCGCCACTGACCACGGTCCTCAGAACCACAAAGCCCACTTGGACAAACTGGTGGAGTATTGTCAGACCGGTGTGAAGGAGGGAGCCACCCTGATCTGTGGGGGCAAACAGATCCAGCGACCAGGTAAGACAACAGAAGACACTGGATGAGATGGATGAGTTTGACTGGTCTATATACGATGTGTGTCTCATTATATCTTTCCTTCCAGGTTTCTTCTTTGAACCCACAGTGTTCACTGACGTACAAGACCACATGTACATTGCCATAGAGGAGTCGTTCGGCCCCGTCATGATCATTTCCAAGTTCAAGGGCGGGTAAGGCTATAACTCAAGCTTACGTCTCACTTTGATATGACTCGTATCCTCATCCCCGCCATCTGCTGGCGTCTTGGTGTTTGGTCCGACAGCAACTTAAATATTGAGCAGCACACAACAAAACTTGTGCAGTCAGAAATCTATCCAAAATTCAATCTGTTTTATCTTTTAAAGACCGTTTTACAAGCTTTTATCTCCTCACACCTCGAGTACTGCAGCAGCCTCTTCACCTGCCTCAACCAAACATCTGTCAGTCAGCTCCAGACTGAACAGAACTCAGCTACAGACTATTAACAGGATCCAGGAGAAGGGACCACATCACACCGGTTTTAGCCGCTTGGCTCCCAGTAGTGATTTTAAGATCCTGCTAGACTGTTAAAGCTCTTCATGGACTCTCTCCATGTTATATATCTGACCTCTGATGAACCAGCTCGTAGCCTGAGCCTATATATTTTTTGGTTTTATTGATTTTTCCTGATCACCCTCTTGCTGGTGACGCTGCCTCTGGTTTATTTGCACTCAAACACTTTATTTGTATTTCTGATTGGCTTGTTTTAACTGTTGCCTTATATGACCTCTATGTTTTATCATGCTGCCTTGTGTGAAGCACTTTGTAACCTGGGTTTAGAAAAGTGCTCTGAAAATAAAGATTATTATATCATTATTATTATTATTTGCTTGTTTTAAGACGTCATAAGACTAGCCTCGAGTCTTTTCTTCTCTGTTCTGCCCCCCCCCCCCGTCTCCACCCTGTCTCCCTGTCTCAGTGAGGTGGATGATGTCCTGAGAAGGGCCAATGCTACAGAGTACGGCCTGGCGTCAGGCGTTTTCACTCGGGACATCAGCAAAGCTCTGTACGTCAGTGAAAGGCTCAACGCCGGCACAGTTTTTGTCAACACCTACAACAAAACGGATGTGGCCTCGCCTTTCGGAGGCTTTAAACAGTCTGGTTTTGGCAAAGACCTGGGTAAGAAAAACTGCTGCTGTTGATCTGTAGCTGTGGTTCTGTTCATTTATGAGTAACACTTTATATTTGCCTTCAGTCATTAGTCATTAGTTTATGATGAACTAATCCTTCCGAAAACATTGATATACATTTGTAGATGGTTAGTAAGCGCTGTGTTGTCACGAATGTGTTGTAAGTCATCGATAAACTTTTAGTCAATGAGACAATCATAAACAAATCATTAGTAAATGATCAATAAGTTATTCACTTGTAAGTTGTTCAAAGATTAATCTGTTGTAAGTCTATAGTAACGGTATCTCTACACGCATCGGTTAATCAAATGATGAACAAATAATAAGTAAATGATCAAAATATAATTTGTTGACTCATCGTTAATTACTTGTAAGTTAGCCCATTACAAGCACAAAAAACAATGATGATCAAGGTATTATTAAATGAACACTGAAGGATTTGTCTTGAAGTGAACAGACATTTATACATGAGTAACAGTTAGTGTGGTAAACACTGAGCAGGTGGGTCAGAGGTAAATACAGTGACTGGTTCTGTGTGGAGCCGGTGGGATCTGGCCATGAAGTGAACGTCTGAAGCAGTTCTGACCTGCCAGTGAAGCTCGTCTCATGTAGGTGAACAGGGTCAAAACTGCAGTGTTCCTCACCTGTAAGAAATGTAAACACATGGCTAAATCATTCACAAAGCTTTCTGCATCCCCCTAATCTAAAGTGTAAACTGTTGTCTATGTATAAATGTGTAACATAGAAAACTTCCACTGCGCCTCAGCTGTTGCAAAGGAAATGTAAATGTATAATTCAGCCCTTCACTAATCATATGCAGAGCTTTGTGTAGACCATTAAGTTGCAAAACAACCTATAGATCATTTTTTCAAACCGTTCTCTGTAGCTGGTTTTTATCTATTCTGACCAACGTTATTATAAAGTGTTACCCAGTTATGTGTTGTAATAGAATTTGTATTTCAAACAAGGGAAAGGAAATATAAATAAATTTAGGTCATAGTTTTAGTCACACTGTTAATGCAGTTAATTATTACAGTGAGCTCATCATTCAGAGGGCGCAGTATGTTTATTAATGTTGATAATGTGGTTGGTTACTGTGACCATGGTTGATTAAATGTCACCTGTGTGCTACCTGACTTGATTAATTTCCATACTTACTGTCAGTCTCTCTGTTACACCAACAGGACAAGAGGCTCTCAATGAATACCTGAAGACAAAGGCAGTGACCATTGAGTATTGAGCTGCATCACAGCAGACAGGAAGCACTGAGGACATCAGCTTCCTGCATGCTGTGACTTCTGCATGGACACTGGCAGAAGAGACACGTAGAGAGATGCACGGGGCCACGTGGAGTGATGTCATCAGCTCAGACCTGCAGTCATGCCCCAAGAGTAGTGACTACTGACTGTTATACTTAGAGCCTTAACATGCACTAACACCTTCATTCTGTCTGAGTCCTCTCAAAAGCACACACCTGAGCTTTGTTGTAATAAATATTGTCCTGAAATATGGAAATGATGTGTTTGTAGGTAGCTCAGGTAACTTCTGACACTGTTTTGTTATCAGTGTGTTTGAGGTACAAGATACCTAAAATGGAAACAGATCAAATAATTCATTTCTAATATGGCTTACATTAGGTCAGAAAAGTCTTAAGATATATAACATTTCTATTCATTTTTGGTTATCAATGAAAACTACTGAGCACCCCGCCCCCCTGCTGTGGACCTCTTTATTGCTGTTGTTGTTGTGTATCTTTTTCATGATGCATTTTTAAAGGAATAGGTTTAACACTTTGGAAAATGCACTTTCTTAACTCCTCATACCTGTACGCCAAATACAAAGCTGTAGCCAGGAGACAGTTAGCTTAGCGTGAAGACTGGAAACAAGAGAAAGCAGCCAACCTGGCTCTTCTAAAAGATAAAAAAAAATCCTTCTGCCAACAACTCTAAAGTTCATCATCATGTGGTGTCGTGTTTTATTTGTACAAAAACTGACATGTAAAAACGATAAGCTGTGGTCTAAGGCAGTGGTCCTGAACCACCGGGCCATGGACTGGTACCAAGTCATGGCATATAATATAATTTATAATAATTATTAATAATTATTATTATTATGAGATAGGCTATTTATGCAGTAATTACAGACCTTGTACTTAAACTTGTTGCAGTGTGGTGAGAAAAATATTCACTATTCAAACTAATTATCATTATGCAACAAAACTGTATAACAAAATTACAGTTGTGAGTGTGAAGCAAACAGTCAAGCAGAGATGGGTACGTATTGGTGGAGGGTTTGAGGGGTTTCCTGTTATTGCCAGCAGTTCTCTGATGTGCTTAAAGCTGCTCATGTCCAGGGAGTGGATCCTCTTGTCTCTTCCTATTGTCAGTGTGATCATTTTATTGTGTGTGTGGGGGGGGGGGGCAGCTCCTGAGTCCATGGACAAACTGAACTTCCCCATCACGACCTACTTAATGAACAACAGTAGTAAGTGCAGGGCTCACAGACGCCACTTAAATGCTTTTAATGTGAAGCTGCAGCTGTTTGCATCAGCACAGAATATCAGCAGATACTTATTTCTTAATACTGCAAATATATAAATATTGCATTACTCTCATCAGTGGGCCACAGGCTTTGTCACCATTATTTTACCTCATTCAGTGACTTAAAAATCTTTGAGATAACTTGATTATAGGGAACACACTCATACTAGCACATACACAAATACACACCTAGACATAAGAAGTGGCGGCTCTAGCTTGTATGGTGCCCTGGACAAACATCCCCTTACAATAGTAGTAAATACCAATTATATACAACCATAAAAAACAAAATAAAGTAACAAAAATAGAAAGGAAAGGAGGAAAGAATAGAAAGGATTAACACACTGAAGAGAACCTAATTATTACACTGTTGCACACTTCAAACAAGATGCATGCACTTTAAATTGCACAATTGTCATCTACACATTAAAAAAATGAAAGTACAGGGATGGACCTAACGATGTACAAAGTGTTTGTTGCTCCAGCTGTACTCTAGCAGGGTACAACACTGTACATTGGTACATTTTTGTACCTTCTTGTCTGTACCTGTAAAAGACCATTTCTATACCCCTAGTGACAAAAATGTACCTTTATGTCCTGGTACAAATATATACCTGGAGAGGTACAGAATTCACACCTTATGAGGTACAGTTAGAGCGACGTGCCATTTTGTGTCTGTTTGTGACAAAACATACCCCTATATTCAGAGACTAAATCATTTACAATTATTCAACCAACCAAAAACTCTAATTTCAATGTATTGTTCTGATAGAGCTGATTTGTCCTAAAAAAAAAAGCAGTTTTTCAACATGAAGCTGAACCATAAGACCTTAGGAGCCATTTAGTGCAACCAAGCAAAATTTCACATCTTGGCTTCACACACAAAACAAGTTTAGTAAAAAGTAGTAGTAGTAAAAAGTACACTTACAAAATCCTAACTCACATTCAGGTTTCGATTCAATCCATTCACATGGACAGTCACTTTTATTATTAGAAGACCTAAATACAAAGCTGTGCTCACGTTTTCTAAAAGGATGGAACTGGGGGAAAAATTGACTGGCAACCACCGGTGATATTAAAATTTGTCCAAAATGTTGAGTCGACTTCAGACTGGCACACGCCTACTCCATCTACTTTCACCACACTGTACCCTGCTCCAGTAATCGTCCATAATTTGTATGGTTGGAGAGGTTGTAGCAGGGTATGCCTACATAAAAGAAAACATGCAAAATAACATATATATATATATATATATATATATATTATATATATATATATATATATATAATATATATATATATGTGTGATGTATAATATATATAGTAATATATATATATATATACATATACATATACATACTCAAATACATTATATATATATATACACATTATATATATATATACACACATATATATATATAATGTATATATATATATATATAATGTATTTGAGTACATGCAGACAAATATACATACAAATAAAATAGACAATCAAATTACTAAATTGCACGAATCCTTCACATCCCATTCCATCCCACCTAATTATTACACAATTATATTTATTATTTGATTTCACACAACCCAGAGAGACGATGTGTCTGTGAGACTACAGGTCTGTATGCACAGATCCACCCTCTCCCAGCACCTCTGAGAGTGACAGGAGACCTTCTCAGCAAGCAGAAGCCTGCACGGACCAAATCCGCCATTGGACATGAGCTGTCTATATGTCTCTACCTCTGTATAAACATTAATGGATATCGTTTAATTATTGTTTATTCCCAGGGCTCGTGCTCCTCCTCAGCAGAGCACCACACTGTGGTCTGGACTGCGCTCTGCTGGACAGCAGGTGAATCGACCATCACGACAACATCTTTTACAGTCATTAAGAAAAGCGGTGCCGGTCGTTGATTTCAGCAGTGATCACAGCCTGAATTCAGCCTGAACAGCCCACCAGCTCGTGTCATTGGTGCCTTCTGTAAACTGGGATGGGCACAATCCTGCAGGAGCGGGCGCCACAACAGTGTGTGGAGAGGGTTTTCATCAGGGAGAGGGAATGGAAGAAGAAGGCGCTGTGGACCAACAACAGGCCTAATGTGGCCAGGTACCGTCACCTACTGTTGTTTTTATGGTTTGATGATGGCGGGAACAGAGATGTCCCTCCGTTCTCTGTACGGCCAGTTTCACTGTGGACTCAGCGGCTCGTCGTTCGTGTCTCACCGCACTTTGATCTCTAAACGTTGTGTATTTGTGCTTTATTTGTGTAATCAAAAAAAAAGATACCGTCGTGTCGGCGGCCACCGGAAACCGTGGAGCATCTTATTGCTTCTATATTTCATCTGTATTTTCTTATGATCGTTATTTAGGTCAGTGGTTGTGTTTCATTCCTAATATATTTTTTTTCAAGCAACAAAATGGGAAGGCGGCAGTCACAAAGGAAGCCACAGCAGCCACAGCACACGTTCCCCAGCCAAGAGAATAATAATGAGAGAGTAAGTTCAGTTTCTTTTATCAAGCCTCAATTAATTAGAACGCTCCTATGATTAGCATGTGTGCATGCATGTGGAGGTATATTACCTTGTAAGTTATTTTTTAAAATTTTTTTAGTTACTTGTTTGTTTTTATTTATTGATTTGTTTTGATTGTTTTATGTATTTTAACGTATGCATATCACTCAACTTATTTTTTATTCTTGTCTATAATCACTTCAACTTATATGCATAACTCAATATTTAAATGTTTTTATTTTTAATTTTACTGAGACTGTTGTGTTATTTGGGGTGGGGGGTGGGGGGGGTCTTAAGAATGTTTGAATGTTCTGTTTAATCTCTAAAATGAACAAAAGCCAATAAACAAAGTATTGATAAAAGTTGATAAAACACCTAGCTGGATAATTACTCATCTCTCAAGCAGAATTAGCGAGTATTTGTTTAGTTCAGCTTTTCAAATGTGATGATTAGCTGCTTTTCTCATTTTTATATATTGAATAACTTTGAGTTTTGTATAAGAAGCCTTCCATAGGCCAAAAGTGAAAACTTCACTTGCACATACATACTGTAATTGCCACCATCGGCATCGCACAGCACCATGCAACCCAGCAGCTTCCAGCTCAACAGGGAACTCTCAAATTCTGTCACCCAGTCTGCTCAACACAACACGCACCAGTATTTTAAAAGGCTTTGCAGACAGAAGGGTGGGGTTACATAACTTCTGTGTGTGGTTAATGGGATGACAGTGATTTGCAGGTGAGGCAGGGTATTAGACCTGTGATGAAATGTTCAAGTATACATGTATGTGTAAGTAAAGTATTCAGTTTTGGCCTAGGAGGCTTCTCATAGTTTTGAACTATTGGTCGATAAAAACAAAACATTTAAAGCTTATCTGCTCTCCACACAATTCATAGACCAAAAGATTAATCAATAAAATGATCATTAGGTCCAGCTTTAGTTTAAGTGTTGAGAGAATGAACATGTAATAAGTTGAAAATATGTGCAGGTATACAGTAACAGTGTCTCTCTGCAATCACAGAGGCTGCAGCAAAGAAGAAAGCACAAGCCTCACACGCCCCTGACTAAACGCAGCAATACTTGTCAACACAGGTGAGACTGCTGTTTGTGCAAATGTTATGTCATTCTTTGTTGTCTGATTGTTAAGATTATACAGTCTTCTTTTCTTTCTAGTGCTCAGGGAACCTCAGAGTCAAACTCCCATCCACGGCCCTCTGCAGAGGACAGGATGGAGCCAAAGGTGCAACCGGCTGCTCAGCGCTTTGCCCACAGAGAACAGAAGCACACAGGAGTCAGAGGGAGCAGACACACAGCAGCCTTTTCCTGCCACCATCTGTCTGACTCAAGCCACAATCTGCTGGAGAGACACTCCCCTAAGCTGGAGGAAGCTAGTCTGAGCGGCCATGGAGAAGGGGACAGTGACACTGACTTGTCTGAGTCGGAGAGACTTCCTGTGTTGTCCTCTGGTCGGGTTCCTCCGCAGCTCGAGCTAAGGCCAGACGTCATCGAGGCTGAAGACCGCTCCACTCGCAGCCATAGGCCCAGAGGACAGGGCCGTCCTGGCTTTGACTTTCCAGACTTCCTTCCTCCACCTTTTAACTCCTGGAGCCTCACTCAGCTGGCTGTCTTCTACAACATGGAGGGCCTGGGGGCCCCTCGGCCCAGGCCAGTGGGGTCTTTGGAAAGGTACCTGGAGAGGCTGCTGCAGCTGGAGTGGCGTCAGATCCAGACTGTCCAGGAGGAGAGTGGGAAGTCAGCTGTGTCAGATGTTGTATCCAGCTACCACAGATCACCAGCTGCTGCCTCATCACGCCTCAGCTCCCCAAAGTGTATCCTCCAGTGTCAGCGTGCCTTCCCCCTCACCTTCCTCTCTTCCCTGGCCAGTCACTCTACCCTGCTCTCCGGCTGTGCCTGCACTCTGTACCGCATCCGCCACTCAGCCTGCAGCACGTCATGCTGCCGCTCCACCCACAGCCACACTCGTCAGTCTAGACTGAGTCCCATGCTGGAGCGCAGGGGGCCCATGTCACTCCCCAAAAGGAGCTACAGTGAGAGCCGGGTGCACTCCTCAGACAGGAGCACAGTGTCCCAGGCTCAGAGATTCAGCAGCCCTGTGAGGGCCAACAGCCACCTGAGGAGGATGCAAGCCTCAGGCAACATCCGCAACCCGGGTCAAGGTGCTAACACCAAGCCTCATTCCACTGCCAGGGACTCGAGTGTTGGGGCTGAGAAGGACTGTTTGGGAGCACGGGGGGACGTGATGGACTACAGGACAGGGGGGTTTCGGAAAAGGAGTGGCTCAGAGCAGAGGAGAAGAGGAGGAGTAGAAAGACAACAAAATGGATCAGAGAAAAGACGGAGTGGTTCTGAGTGCAGAAGAGGAGGAAGTGAGCGAAGGAGAACAGCTGAGTTTAAGGAACGAGAAATAAAACCAGATGCTGTCACTGCAATAATGGACAATTTACACGGGTCCAGTTATTCTCCTGATAACAGGCCAAACAGGCCCAAACAGGTTGAATTTGTTTGATATCAGCAATTTGGGTACTGTAAGTAGGTGTAATCTGTGCGCCACAGCTGCAATCATCACTTTTGAGATTTGATTATGAATCTATATTTTCAGATTGTTGAAGTGTGTTTCACTTTTTCCATCAGCGAATGTGATGTTTTGCAATATTTTTCTAGTCTCAGCTAATTATAGTTGCATCATTATGTTTAATCCAGTGCTGTTGAGTTAAATAAGCAGATCCTGCAGTGGATTTTTACATGCACTGTTGATTATACATAAATCTTATGCGCATGTGGATATTTATATAAATACTCATTTTGTTTCTTTCTGGCTGCAGTGCAACAGCGGAGCTGAACGTGAATGTCACTGACTGACTGAGTGATGAAGTTACACCATTGTTCGTTGCTCTTTCCAAATGATTTGGAGCAAACAAGCATTGTTGCCAATTTAGCGCCTTTGTTGCTAGATTTCCCAACTTATTTTTAAATAGCACCATGTGACAAATCTAGTGACTTTTTTGGACAAACCTCAGCTACTTTCTGTAGAAGAGAGTCGTCAGTGTTGCCCTGCGAGTGCGAGGTCGAGCTTTCCCTCCACAGACACGCCTCTTTATACTGATCACACGGCAGCTGATGTGAATGAGGTTCTAACTCTCTCTGAGTGATCATTTTATGAGTAAATACAGCCAAAATCACAGCACAGTCTTTGTCTTTAACTTGTGTGCTTGGTGGTTTTGTCAAGACGTTATAAAATCAGGATTTTAGCAGAAGCTTGGAAGTGACTTCTGTTTAACATGTAGTTTTAATGAGCCACGTTTCAGTCACTATCTCAAACTTGTTCCATTGTCATGACAACAGAAACGGAAAAACATGTCAGTGAGAACAGCTTTATTGTGAATTCAGCTTTATTAAAATACTGTATATGTCCGCAGAGAGGAGGAGAGAACAGATAAAGAGCTGAATCCATCTGATACTAAGCAGAAGGAAAATAGCCTACAATGCCGTATAACCATACACTAGGTCTTAACCCAGTAAGCCTTCGTCAGCACAATATATTATGTATATGTTTGTATGAAATATTTTTCAACACTACCAGTTTTACAATCACTCTTGTTTTCGTCTGTCAACAAAAAGAAAAGCATCATAAAAGTTATTAAAGCCTGACGCTTCCAACTCTAACTAACTTTTTTATGCCTCCGCACCGGAGACAGCCAGGTATATTGTTTTTGGGTTGACCATCTGTATATACGTACGTATGTACATCTGTCCTATTCTCAGTAGGACTCAAGGCTGAACTGATCAGATTTTGGTGATCAAAGGTCAAAGGTCAAGGTCAGTGTGACCCCATAAAACACTTTTTAGCCATAACTCAAGACTTCACACAGCAATGAACAATTTTACACAAATAGTTTTTTTTATATGACTGGAGAAACAGGGATGTAACCTGAAACTAGTCTGAGTGGTGGAGGGATACAACCGCGAGGCTAGTGCGTAACCCACCTGAGTCTCTGACAGAATTGTCTACAGGCAAGTTGCATTGTGCGTAACATAGGTGCCATGCTTCAACAAGGAAGAAGAATGCAAGGATTCACAATAATAATAATATTTGATACTATTTTTCCTGTCCATCATGAGTCCAACAAAGTTATGGTGCAATGCTAAATTGTTGGACTACTCTTAATAAAATGCTTCACACTGCCATGGTTGTCATAGTGATTGTCTGCATGATGTGTCTGTCATGGGTCTGTGGAGTACAGCTTCATCTAGGAGCGAGCAGATACGCTCTGAAAATGGCAGTTCTGCTGAATCAAAACAAAATTACAGACAACTGTAATTATCATTTGGTGTCAGTGACAAGCTGAATTACTGTATTATATGTGTGACTTATTTGTAGATAGTGTAGATACTATATACCAACCTCTTTTCCAGCACCTGTTTTGAAAGTTTTGAAAGAACTATTCAGAATTGTCCTGATAGGAAGTTTCCCCTAATACTGTCCTTACCCTTGAAGACTTTTCTTGTAAAAATGAAACATGAAATACTAAAGCGGAACATAAACCTCACATATGTGTCAGGTCCTGCAAACATAAACTGGGCTAACTACAAAAGGTACAATGGAGTATTAGGGCCACATTGAGGAGAAAAAAATCTACGAAGTCATAATATTACGAGAATTATGTTATAATTTTGAGAATAACATAATAGTTCAAGAAAATAGTCATAATATAATGAGAATAAGGTGGCAATTTTACAAGGAAAAAAAGTCATAATATGAGAATAAAGTGGTAATTTTAGGTTGTGTCTTGTCTTAGAAGGTAAATATCAGAAGCTTTAAAATGAGGAACGTTAAGCATCCTGTGAAGTTCTACTTTTCACAAATAAGAAGCAGCTCAGGCGGCCACTGACTGTACTTCATCCCGTTTCATTAGTTGATTGTAATATTCCTAAAAACATTTATTTCTCTCGAAATTTTACATTTTAATTCTTGTAATATTACAACATTATTCTATTAATATTACGACCTCTTTCTTGAAATATTATGAGTTTATGGGGCACTTAAAATCCCCATACTTGACAGTAGAAATGGCTTTTTTAAAAGTTTTTCAACAAACTTGTGTTTTAATTTGAAAATCTGTTGTCTTTCTTTGACATTATTAAACTAAAATGGTCAAACCCCGCGGATGGGGATGGGGATGGGGATGGAAGGACCTAAATGTATTTTTACCTGTATTGTGTGGGGAACTATTATTACGCGCTTCCCTTGAGGTCTTCCTGTATCCCGTCCAGTTGCTGTTTCAGACCGGACGTATTTTTACAGCGACACCGCCACCGCCACCGCCACCATGGACGCCGTATCCCAGCGTGTTTTGGAGTATATGATAGAAGTTGAGGAAGCAGCGGAGGATGTCCTCACCACTAAGCAACAGGTAGATAAATACTCTGTAACAACAAGATGGATGTTATATGCAGAGTACGGATGGATACATCAGCTAACAGAGCTAACTGACAGTGTTAGCAGCTAAGCTAGCAGCTAAGCTAACAGTTTTACCGTCTCGCGTGAAATGAGTAAACCTAGCCCGGACAGTGGTGTGGTAGCTCTGTGTTACTGGGAGGTGAATAACACTACAGCCCTATAGTTATGTCAATACTGCAAATATTAGTGATTAATATTATGTGTTAGGATTTGTGTTATGATTTGAAGGGGTAGGCTTGATCTATGAACTATCCTCAAGACAGAAAATGTAATTCCTCACGGAACTTTTCTTTAATCGATCTTTCCAAGTCTGAATCTAAATATTGAGGTTTCAGTGTTTCAGTGTTTACTGAAAGTGATCACCTATTAAGTCCTGTCCCTTATAAAGGATGGAAAACGAATATATATCTGTGGAATGGATCACAAGTGAGGAAACAAACAAAAAAAGATAAATATGATGAAAATAAAAATACCTTATGTATCATGTATGTATAACAGTTAATGTACAAAGTAAACTAACAGTGCTTTACAGAAAAGAGAAAAAGCAAATAGTAAAGGCGAAATGCAAATAACGAACAGACCATGAAGATAAACAATGGTATTAAACACAGGAGATTAAAAGTTAAAAAGAAGAGAATGTAAATTACAAGGATGTAAAGGTAAAACTTTGAGAAACATTAAGTATGCATAAAAGCTTTTTCATTAAAGAATGTTTTAAGAAGGGATTCATTACAGTTGCAGATGTGGCCTATCTTATCCCAGTCTCTGGAGTATATTAAGCATGGTCATGTCTGCACAAACTAGCAAAGTGCAAAATACTTGCAGGCCTTAATTTGCATGCATATTCTTCACACTGCGTTTATAATGTTAATAGATCTAATGATCTTTTTGAGGATTTTTGCCCAGTCCAACACTTCATTTTATTATTTCATTCCTGGGCATTTTTGTGACTTTTTATGCCAGCGAGTAGAGAGATGAGAGGAGAAGAGCAACAGAGAGATGCTACATAAGGACTAAATTTAGTCCTCAGATGTGCTACAGTATCAGATGGGCTACAGTATCAGAGATGACAGTGTTTCATATGATATCTAATATAGGTTTGTATTTTGATATACAACAGCACCAGACATTTCAAATAATGCTACCTGACAATATTTCATTGATATTCCCACTCAATCACTGTAGGCTGATGAAATTGCATTTGAATGAAATAAAACTACTGTGTTACTGTCAAACTGACTGTTTTAATCATCAATCCAAAAACTTGATATCAGCTTGTTCTTACTTTTTCATATTCCACAATGAAGAAGCACATTGATGTTGTAACATCATATCCTGTGTAATGTGGAGAGATCGTTTTCTCTGTCGCTGTTTCAGATTGTGGACCTGGACACAAAGAGGAACAAGAACAGAGAGGCCCTGAACGCACTGAAAACGGAAATGTCAGATTCAGGTGAGTGGCGCTTCATCACAAGATGTCGACACGGAGGAGAGAAGTGTTGAAATTCAAGTGCATCCTGTTTGAGTCACAGTTGTTAACGGACACTCATTGACATCCATTGGCTTAGGTTATGTAAACACTGATTACAGTAATTTTACAGTGGGAACAGCAGTTTGATATCTTGATATGAATCGGGTGTATAGTTGTAATACTGGTTGTAGATGCCCTGTACATGACTTGAGATTTACCACTGCTGTCATTTGCAGAGAAAGTGAAGGTTTGCTTTGGAACCATGTTCATCAAATTTCCCAAATCAAAGACAAGAGAGATGATTCAGAAAGGTAAGAATGACCAGTTAATATCTAAATATATTTTGCTCCACCATAAAACTGAGTGGATATAGTTTTACTCATACAGATGTACAAATGTTTGGGCACCCTTGCGAAATTCCATGTGTACTTCTTCACATAGATTAAAACATGTATGAGAGGAACATTAAAGAAAGGCTCACTTGTCATGTCTGCTGGCTGCAGAGGTTGTATTTACTTATTTGCACTTGCAGTGAAAACCTTTTGCATACAGTTACATTGTTGCTAAATGTGATCTGTGTTGGTCTTTGTTCATCCATAGACCAGGAGCAGCTGGAAAAGGAGATCAACGACCTTCGCAAAGGACTGAAAGCAAAGGTCAATCATCTCAATGAGATCCAAGGTATGAAGAGCATTTGGTCTGTTCAGTTGGCTACTTGCAGCTTTAGCCTTGTAAACGGGATATCTCAATAATACCTTCAGGGATTTTCTTCAAATTTGGCACAGATGTCCACTAAGGCTCAAGGCTGAACTGATTAGATTTTGGTGGTCGAAGGTCAAGGTAACAGTGACCTCACAAAACATGGTTTTGGCCTCTTGAATGTGGTATCTCAAGACCAACTTGAGGAAATTGTTTAGATTTGGCACAAACATTCACTTGGACTCTGACTTTGGTGGACACGACATGAAGTGATAACATTTTATATCCAAAAGGTCAAAGGTCAACTTTACTGCGAATCCATCAATGTTCGGTTCACTTTTGAGTTTGTTAGGTTTGATTAAATCCAAGGTAGCCATGATGTGTCTTTCAGCTCTATTAGTCGTATTTCTGGAAAGTCTATGGCCACTTTTAAAGCTGTAGATGGTTGTGTTGTTTTGGCTCACAGTGTATTGTACAGTTGTGTCTGTTTCTTTATCTAGGCGATTACTAAAATGGCGATTACAAGGAATCAATTTGCAGCATGTATTTGTCAGAGTCTCTGAAGATGAGTTACAGGCTTCTTGCTTTGGATTATTTTAGCCTTAAACCAGGGCTGTTAATCTTTTGACATTAACTCCTTAATCTTTGGACGCATGAAAGTAACAAGCTGAGAAATGTCATTACTTGTGAAATATTTCTGCAGTCTCCGTAGAAGGAATGTCTGGTCTTTGTGTTTCTACAGAAAGCAAACTGTTTTTGAAAGATATGGGATTGATGCAGACATGTTATTAAACTCTGAATGTTTCCCAGTGATTCAGTTGCAAAAAAACAAAACTACGAGCTATGTGGACAGTTGTTGGGAGAGGGAGTATGAACTGAGTCCAGTGTGTTCAGTGAGATGGCTGAGGAGGGACAGGGCCTGGGAATCATTGGATAATCCATAATTTGTTTGTACAGAAAAAACGTTTTTGGTGTCAGAATCAAAAAAATGAAAAAGCAACCAGTTTTTAGCAGCTCCTTTTTATCATTTTTGTTTGAAACCAAAAACCGAATTCACCTGGTTTTATTTTATTTTTAAACCAAAAACAAAAAATAATATTCATGATATTCATTTTTTGTTTCCAAAGAAAAACTGAGAAAATTGAAAAAATAAAAATGTTTTGTTTTTTTGCAAATTCATTTTTTTCATTTCTTATTTAGCAGAGACGGTAGATTGGTGGACAGACAGCAAGAGGAAGAGATGTGTAAAAAAGTCTAAACAAAAGACAGACAGACAGAGAGATAGAGCCACACCCACACACACACACACCCACACACACACACACACACACAAAAAGGACTTGCACTTATATAGCGATTTTCTAGTCTTGCTGACCACTCAAAACGCTTTACAATACTTACACATTCACCCATACACTCACACATTCATACATCTCACTCATACACTGATGGAACAGCCATCAGGGGCAAAGTGGGGTTCAGTATCTTGCCCAAGGCCACTTCGACATGTGGCCTGGAGGAGCCGGGGATCGAACCACGACCTGCTCTCCCTCCTGAGCCACAGCCGCCCCAAATAGACCATGTGATTTTGTTTTTTGGTTTAGAATTAAACATCAATTAAACCCCAATGAATTTTTTTTTTCTTTTTGGTTTGAAACAAATAATGGTAAAAGGACTTGCCAAAAACCAAAAAATGGTTTTGTTTTTGATACAAAGATTTATGTTTTTTTTTTACATTTTTAAATTACAAGTGAATTATGGATTATCTGATGATGACCAGACCAGACAAGCAGGGCTTTCAATTCAATAATCATTCCTCTGGTGAAACAGTTGGAAAAAGGGAGGTCCTTCATGGCATCAGTCCCAATAACATCCAATGCAAGTGGAAACGTTTTAATTGTTATCATTTTGTGAACAGTACACCCTCAGGACTTCATGATAGCTGCAGTCAAACTGGACTTCCACCACATGCAGTCCTCTGAAAAGTTTCTTTCTGTTTGTTTCCAGGTAAACCTGAGCTGAGAGGATACAACCTGTCTCCTCTGTCCACTGATGAAATCAAAGCTATGAACAACCTTTTAAAGAGATGACATCACATCTGCGAAACACTTAAGAGCTAAGAGCCTCACCTGCCACTACAGTACTATGATGATGATATCCTGTGGATGATCTGATGGCAGTAAATTGTCATGCAGAAAGACAACAATATCCATACAGCAGACCTCTTCAAACCTGCCATCCAGACATTTTGCAGGTTTATTCAAACATCGTATTCTCAGTGTAGAAGACACAAAAAGAAAATTTAAGGTTGGTCAGGTTCAGGCCGTTATTCAATGCTGTAACTCAGGACGGAGAGATTGTAACCGTATTTCCTGTAACTTGGCGGGTGAGTGGAGGGATACAACCAGGAGGAGGTGATTCTAGTTTTTTGTTGAAATGCCCATTGCTCTGTGAACAGTACGCCTGAATAGCAGGAACTGACATCCTGTATAGTTTGGGGTCCAGTGAAAAATCAGATGAAGCCATGTAGTTGGTTCATGGTCACAAGATGGCAGTAGAGTGAAGGTGTACAACAAAACATTGAGCCTTGAGTCACCATCTGCCTCCACAGCCTCGCAGCTAGTTTTCAGATTCTCTGGGAGTGTTGCTGCTCTGCTTTATAATGAACTATGTGACACACACCACAGCTGTGGCTTTGAAATTCAGCCAAATCCCAAGCCTTTAGCAAATCATCAATGTAGCAAACACATTGAAGATTTGCTAAATTGCAGCAAATATGTGTATTGTGTAAGAAGACAGTGTTTTCAGCGTGTGACAATGATGGATTTTGATTGAATAAATGTATTTATATCTTAATCATTTATGGCTGATTTGCATTTTCTGTACAGCCAATGTGCTTCAGTTTTTGTTTTTCTTGTCTCTGTGTACATTTTTTTTTTTAAAGGAGACATACCGTACATCCCTAGTCACAATCTGGGTCATAAACAACCACTGCGCTCTCACGAATGACAATAAGCTGCAAATAGGTGTATTGCGGTATAATATCTCATACTGAAATGCCACTGAGCATGAGAAGACATGAATAGCCTGAGGCAATGAAAGAAAGGGAGGGACACTCAACAGTCACATTGTAGGTATGTTTGTAGGTTGCTTGTGTGTGTGGAGGTGGAGGTGGAGGTGGTGGTGGTGGTGCTAGTAGTTTTGGTTCGGTCTCAGACTTTGGTTGCGTGCCACCACTCTCAGACCTGGAACCAGCTCAGAGTGATGAATTCATGAGTCAAAGGATGGGAACCTGCTGAATGTCTCAAATACTAGATAATTATTCCAAACAAGACGTGCTACAGTGCTATGTTAAGAAGGTGACACACTCACACTCCTACATTTGTCCTCCCCCCTGGGAAACTATAAATCAAGAAGTTATAAAATGATTGATTGTGCAGTGATGTTGTTCGCCTCCACTTGACAACAAGAGTAAAAGAGTAACATTAATCACACCCAAGAGGAGTGAAGATAAATCCATGAACTATGTGTAGGCCTAGTTGGTTTGACAGCGTAGACTGGAGATGTATTTGTAATCGTACCTTAAATACAATGACATATTAATCACAGTTTGAAGGTCAGACACCTGCATGTGTGCCAGAAAGCAGTCATATTGCTGCAACAGTTGGATTAACAAGATGTATTATGAACACATCCAACAGCTGTCACTTTTTGGGAGGGAACTTTAATTTCTCTACTATTGATTACAAAATTCAAACTGTAAAAAACTACTCGCATGGAGAGGTTTCCAGTTTGCCTTGGCATGCCAACTATGAGTGTTTGTGTGTGTGTGGCCATGGTTCCTTCCTGCTCCAAGACTGAATTGTTTAATGGCTTTCTTGAGAAAAGATCTCATTTAGCTGTCATTCACATGTCATCCCAACCTCACACAGATGGAGTAATGATTTACTGTAATTTATTGACTGTTTCTGAAACCTCAGAATATATACTGTTGCAGAGCTGCAGGGGTAAATGTGAACTCGAACCATGAGGAAATAAGTAGAGTCTGATTTTGACAGACATGGCTGACTGCTGTGTCAGTTCACTTGAGTGGAGGAGACTTCAGTACACATTAGTTAGTAAAAGGGTGTAAAGTGAGATGTTTAGCTCCATATTATATCCTACAGAGTTACATTACTTGCTTTTCCCAGTAATGTCAGTCTAGTTCAGTAATGTCAGTACACCCAAATAACCAAAAAGACACATTTACTCACGGAGTGGTAAGAACAGAATTTACGCACACTCAAGAGCTTCTTACGTACATTTGAGTGCTGACATGATTGAGCAAAATAACTGGTTATTGTGTTTTCTTCTGTTCTACAGTTATATAATTATGTAATAATTATAAATAATATATTATTTAAATTACAATAATACAATGTCATTTTTAATATTCAAAAAAATAACTTGTTGTTTTACATAGTATTACGGTCCTTTAAAGTAAATGAGCACTACATTAACACTTACCCGCTTGTTTGCGGCTCACCTCCTGCAGCAGTACCTCCACTTCAGAACTACTAAAGTTCCTTTTGCGTTTTGATTCCGGTGCTCCGTCTTGAGATTTTTGTTTTGGCAGTTTCTCAACTTTCCCATTGTCTCTAGATTTAAAGACTTGTGTTCAAACATACTGGGTATAAACCTGTATCAGGTCTGGACCATGTATGGATGCCCCTCTTGTTACAGGCAGTCTACCAAGCTGGTTTCCCAGCTGCCCAGGAACTGTAGGGAAGAGGAGGAGAGCTTCCAATACACTGAGCCTCTCCTCCATTGCAGCAAATAAACTAATTTCATTACATGTATCATTATTACTAAAGGAGGCAGAGGAATAACTAAATATAAGACACACAGAGCAGAGAGAGCAGGAGAGAGGGAGGGAGAGAGAGAAGTCATCGGTAACGAGGCTTCGTACTAACGACTATGACCAACTCTACATATCAAACAGCGGGCGTTAGACATAAAGACCTGCCTCTAATAAAAGTCTGTTACGTTCTGGAGTTTTTTAACTATTGTGGATCCAGATGGAGGCTGTGCTCTGTGTGAGGAACTGAATAAGAAAGATCGTCCGTATCTTCTAACTTTCTCTCTGATCATGTTACAGTAAACACAGCTGAAATCACAGCTCAGTCTTTGTCTTTCATTTATGTGTTTATTTGTGATTTTGTCAGACGATGTTGCAGTTACAAAACCAGGATTTGACCGTAGGTGGTCCAGACAGATCCTAGGTTTAGACCCTAAATATTTGTACATGAACAATGGGTCACTTATCTATGTGTAGTCTGTAATGTGTTGTGGTTTTCCTCAGTTTTCAGCTGCCTTCTGAATAAACAGATAAAGTGATTAGTTATGAGCTACTTTTCTTAGCACCAAACAGCAGACAGACAGAGTCAGAAACTAGCTAGTGTGCACTGTGGATTTTAACAGCTAAAAAGCTGTTAAAAAGTTGGATCAGATATTCTGTTATCTAGAGATAACAGGATAAAAAAATATTATGTTATGTCGAGATAACGGAATAATTATGTTATTATTTTCTCAAGATAATGGAATAATTGTCCTCTTATCTCAAGAAAACAAAGCTCTGTTATCTCGAGATAATGGGGTAAACTAAATATTTGTCAAATCAAAAGCCTCAAACCGGGAAACTGTACGCAACGTTAATTTGATGTCACAAAGTGATGTCCCTTTCCATATATTTTCTCAACTTCTGTAGAATATGGACTTACATATCTCAACTTCACATCAATGGTGCTCGATGTTTGCTGGAGGTGTAAACAGGTCATTGTTTGCTAACATGTTAGCCATATCATCATCATAAAGTCAAAATACTTCAAATGTATAATTTTTAGCTTGCTGAGGAAAAAAACGATAAATACTGCAGTGTGGTTTGTTTTGTTGTTATCATACTAGAACACGTGCTAGCCTGGTATCATGGTATCACATTAGCGCTGGCATTGAAAAATTGCTTCTGCCAGTATATCAGTACAATGGTGCCTGTGGTTTTTACAGACATAAAAATGACCTTAAAAAATCTACAGCGATGTCTCCTTCTGGGAACAGCGCCCTACTTACTTTCAATAATCAACAGATGTCACTTTTAATACATTTTCATTCAGAACCATTTCCTGCCCAAGTAAAACCTGTTTATTTCTTTTTAAGTATTTTCTTTACTGTTGTTGTCTTTGCCAGCAGTCTGTTTCTGACTAACCTTCTGACCCTTTCAGCAGTTTCCAACACATTTAGACAAACATGTCCCACGTGAAGCAATAATTGGATGATGAAAGCTGTGTAATACAACATTTCCTGGCCAGACAACAACCCAGGTTAGTTACACAGATGCTGATATGGGTACTGCCTGTTGCTGGCTCTACAGAGCTGTCATTACATAGTATGTTTCAACATGTAAGTTCAATCCCTACATGTCACATTCCCGGTGTACATGTACTGCATAGGGAATATAGGTTGTGCGTAAGTGAGGTACAGATATATTTTCTGTGAATTCATACATCAGTTGTGTTTATAGCCCTTTATTTGTCTCAGTTATGTACCACACATGTACCGTACATTCTGAACCGTTTCCTCCAGTTCATCCCTCACAAAGAGGACAGCATTATCTCATCATATATCATTTATTTTGTTCATGTCACACATACATTGATGTGTGGTTGTTGCTTTGGTAAGTCTTAAATTTTACTCGTCTCTTATTTAAAGTTTTTGCGTCAGTGTTTCAACAACCAAACAAGCCTCACAGGGATCGTTTATTCATTTTATCTTATCTTGTAATGACATGTAACTATATGATCAAATGGAGTGTAACTGTGTACTGTTCCCCTCCCAGCTGAGTTTGGTATGAGGCTGCAGCTCTGTAGCTTTACTGGAATGTGTGATGTCGGGGCAGTGAAAGCCCGCTGATGTCTGTCTGCACTATCCCTCCTGAGAGGCAGTGAGACAGGTTTTATGCTGAAAGAGACGCAGCTAAAGTTGCCTTTCCCTGTTTTTCATTTCCTCTCTTTAGACATGAACCTTGAATTGTCCTATGAGACAAAGCCACATATGGAAACCATGAGGAGGAGCAGGCTGTGTGATTAATAGCCTAATAAGAAGAATAATATGTGGAGAGACGTTTTGCTGTTGAGTTGTTGTTTTTTTTTATGTATTTGTTATTTGTTTTATTGCAGCACAAAATTCCAATCACCTCCATTGTGCTGGGTTGGATATCATACAACATAAACACAAAAGTATGATATGTGGACACACCTTTGTAATTAGTAGTGTAAGGTTTAGATGTTAATTCATTCTGTATATTTGAGTTAATTTACTAAAAATATACATAATAATATGCATGTTATACAGTTAATTATGTACACATTTATGTTTACAGATAACTATTTACATAATTATGTTTACACAATTATTATTTAAATATTTGCAAGTTTAAATATTTACATGTGCATCTTTAAAAATAGTTAAAATAACCTCTTGAATCCATCGTCTTAATGACCTCAGTCTGAGTCCCTTTAGCCTCTGATTGGTTAGTCTGGTGACATGTGACTTAGAGACAGGAAGTGTTGTTGTGAAGCATGTGGAGCAAGATAAAACTGCTGCTTGAAAAAAGTGGATCTGTCCCCATCCAGCTATTTCTTTTATCAAGAGTGATCCAAACCACCACATATGGGACCTTCATGTTACAGTAGGTTCAGCTTCCACAGTTACACTCACTGCTAACAGGTGTACATAATCAGTCATGTAGCCATCCATGACAAACCGTCTCACATCCCCTCAGATTTATCTGGTGACT